ACCTGACCTAATGAAGTCCATCCATCTCTGCCTGGTTTTTCAAATTAAAGCTGGAACACTTCTTCCTTCTCTAAATCAGGAGCTGTAAGGATGTGACCTAGAGCTGTTGGAAGGCATGTGCCCCGAAATTACATGGTGAATCCAAAGAAAAAGAGACCACATTGAGCAGCAGAGATAGCAAGAGCTGACTTGGCATATACACATGCCATTTTAGTCCCTGAGGTTGTAGCTTGTTCTGGGTTCCTACAGCTATTTCCTTTGATCGTTAACCACTCCAGCTTCCTTCTAATAAATCCAAGGCCGGGGAAAACCCCAAGAGTGAGGAGACCCATTCTAAGTAGAGCGCTACTGGGACCCATATAGACTATCCCACTAAAGCACAATGTAATGCTCAAGTCTTGTTTTTTGAAAAACATGTAAGAAAGAAATCTAAATGAAGCAGTCTTAAAATTAAGCTAGAGGGAGCAGTCATGTGTCCTGTCTAGAAACTTTTAATCTGGGCTGCCTGGGTGGCTCAGTCGATACGTATCTGCCTTTGGCTCGGGTCATGATCCCAGGGTCTGGGGATCAAGCCCTACATCGGGCTCCCTGCTCTGCGGGAAGCCTGCTTCTCCCTCTCCCGCTCCCCCTGCTTGTGTTCCCTCTCTGGCTGTCTCTCTGTCAAATAAATAAAATCTTTAAAAAGAAAAAAGAAAAAAAAAAAAAAGAAACTTTTAATCTAATCACAGAAACCAGAGATTAATTTAAATCCATTTCTAAAATGAAAAGTGCAATATGTGCTATTAAAGTTTCACTATCAAAACATTTATTCACTTACAGGAAGACTGCATTTTTGGTGTCCAGCAGGTTAGGCTTGAATAATACCAAGATAAAACATGAATGCCTTTCCCAACAGACTAAGCTTATAGTAGGCACAATGCAAAAACAAAAAACTACATTTCAACAACTTAAGTGCTTAAAATAAAGGCATCCAAATGCTTCGTGAATCCTAAAAAGGTAACCACTAACCTTGCCTAGGTTTAAAAACAGTGACAACTGAGCTAGGTCTTGATGGAGAGGGATAAGCATTCCAAATAGAGAAACTCAAAGTTGAGGGTGTGAAAGAACACAGGCTGTAAAAATTTGCTTATAGTCTGGCATACCAGAAACACAGCAGGGCACCGGTAAGGAAGCAGCGCATGTGACCACAAAGGTTAACCATGGCTGGATCTTTCATGAGCTTTGAATATGTCAAAGACTATCCTAAAGGCAATGGGAACCGTGGATAGTTTTTTTGTTTTTGTTTAAGATTTACTTACTTGTTTGAGACAGCGAGTGAGAGTGAGGGAGCATGGGTGGAGGGAGGGGTGCACAGAGGGCACCCTACATGGGGCTCAATCTCACAACCCATGAGATCATGACCTGAGCTGAAACCAAGAGTCAGATGCTCAATTAAGCCACCCAGGGGCCCCGAACCATGGATAGTTTTTAAGCAGGAATAAAACAAATCCAATTTGGTTATTTTTAAAAAATGTACTTGGTCAATAGTACACTAGAAGGAATGCTTTTAATTTTTTAACTTACTAGGTCATAGCCTAAAAGTACCCATGAATCTGTGTACCCAGCCTGTTAAGTAAAGCTTAACATTTTTACTACACTACCTTCATATTAAAAAAAAAAAAATGCTGCGGATATAACTGAAGATCCCTCACATACTCCTCAAATTCCATTCCCTTTCCCCCACAGAAGGTAACAGATTATGCCAAATTTGGCTTCTCCACATTTTTATACACTACTAGATATGTATCTTTTTCACATATAGCATTGTTTTGCAGGTCTTCAAATTTTAAGAGAAAAAACTATGAACCTTTACATAGACCTATACCTATGTATCTCTCTCTATATATATGTATTGTTCAGAACTTTGGCTCTTAACTTTTTATAACAAGGACTTCTAAGACTGAGTAACTACTGACCTTCTATCCCCCCAAATAAGCCCGCACAAAATTTTAATTTGTGGGGTATCACAGACTCATCCCCCTATTGTAGGAATCCCTAATACAAAGAACAAAAAAATAGGTTAACTACATTAGGAAGCTAGAGCAGTAATTCAGGTGAGAGAAGAACACGAGAACTAAGTCACTGAGGATGATAAAAGATCTTAAATAACAAGCATTTTACCCTTACAACAATCTTATGGAAACAGGCCTTACTTCTACTCTACATCAGAACCCCTTACACTAGGGGAAAGATTGCATTCAAGTGTAGGACATACTAAGCTTTAGTTTATCTACTAGACACTTGAAACTTAGAGGTCTAGGGATAGATTTCAAATGGCTGCTTTTTCAAAAGGGTATCCTTACATCAAAGATGTATTTTTAAAAATTTGATATGGCATTTGGCAAACTGAAGAAAAAAATTTCAACTGTACCAACCCAACTCTGTTCTACTCAAGGTGTACTTACTGGACTTAAGATCAATTTTCAATGAAGCACCCACTCAAAGAATTTTCAAAAGTAATTTTGCCTTTGGTTTTAACTTATGAAATGACTTTAAACCCTAAACTTTCATAGGCTTTAGGGACAAAAACAATTTGTAGAATTATATGATGAACTGAAACTGTTAGCTCTTTGCTTCCTAGTAGAGAGGAACAGTGGCAAGGACCAGAGAGAACAGCTCACATTTAGCACCTGTAAATCTTCATACTGTTAACCATCTCTTTCCCCAAGTCCAGCATTATTAAGGTGGGCTCTTGGCCAACTATTAAGACCACTAAAATAGCAAAGAGGTTGGCAGGGAGACTGGTACACCCTAGTTGCTAATGGCTCCACTCACGGTGAAGGGACACTAAAACGGACCAAGGGCATACAAGGACATAAAAAAATAAAACCTCACCAAAGTTAGACATCTCTTTGCCATGGCGTGTTCTCCTGGAGGGAATTTCCTTTTTGGATCATCTTCCTCTGAACTGCTTCTCCTGAAACCTTCCCGCACACCTGGCTAGCACGAGAATCCAGGCCTCTTCTCCCTTAGAAATATGCTTCCTTTCCATTTAAAAGCCTAAACAGACTCACAGGATAAGGAGTCAAGCAAATCTCTCTAAAAGACACCAAAAGTACAGCTTAAGCCATTGAGTATTCTCATGTGGAGGTACATAATTACACAGTAAGGAGTTTGACCATTCCTTTTCTGGGACTCATAAGAGAAAGTCTACAGTTTATCTTGAGAAAGATCTTTGATCATCTTTGATCATTACAGCACACAGGATCTCTTTGACCGCTGTTAGAAGAAAATCATGAAAAGGCTGAGACACTGGCTTAGAAGTCTAAACAGACTAAATATCTGCTTCTTGCTTCTCTCACTACGTCTTACTCATTTCGAAGAAGTGAAATGACTAACCACAGACTATGAAGAACAGGAAGCCAAGGTATTAAACACAGAGGTATACAGAAATGATAGGGAAGTATAAAAAATGGTCTCTGCCTTTAAAGAGTTTATAAATTGGAAATCTAAGAACTATTTATGAATAATGAAGCTACACAGCAGCCATGCCAGATCAGTGTCCAGTAAGGTTTAATGCCTCTAAGAATAACCATTTAAACATTCTGCTACGGGCGCCTGGGTGGCTCAGTTGGTTAAGCGACTGCCTTCAGCTCAGGTCATGATCCCGGAGTCCCGGGATCGAGTCCCACAGCGCAGGGAGTCCACTTCTCCCTCTGATCCTCCCCCCTCTCATGCTCTCTCCGTCTCATTCTCTCTCAAATTAAAAAAAAAAAAAAAAAAAAAATCTTTAAACATTCTGCTAAACATTCTTCCAATGATAGCCACCACTTGTATGTTAGATTAACATAACCAAAGTCAGCATTTATGAAAACAAAGATGATTACTATGGTAAAGCCAAGTTCATGGGTTCCATCCTTGAGTACAGTAATTATCACCATGTTCACAATCACCTGTTATCCCATACTCCACCATTCATCTTATACATTATCACACAAAGGTCATAATGATAGTAGTAGCATAGATACAATTCCTATCATCACTTTTGGGAAAACTCAGAAGTTCATGCCATTACTGAAAGGTAATTTCTTGTATTCTATTAAAGAGTCCATTTCTTTAAAAACTTTTGACTTAAAGACAAGATGTGTATAACTATGTGAATCAGCACTATAAAGACAGTCCTTGCCTCTTAAAACCTACACTGAGCAACAGAAAGTACTACCTTGGGGGCTGGATGAGATGAGGCCATGAGGTGGGAGGCAAGAAGAGTGCCTTTACAAGAAATTTTGAGGTAAGAATCACCCTCAAGGAGCCTTTACAACCTAGCAAAATATAAAAGTACATATTCAGACCAATGACAGGACAAAATGCAGTACACTTAATTGCCTAATTAGGCAGATGAGAACTGCTCTAATTGTTCTTATGAAGATCAGGTTTACCATGAAGCAAACAATTTTTTTACTACATTTAATGTTGTGAAATTTCTATATACCATGTGTAGACGCAAATGATAACAAAGGAAACAGCAAACATTTCAGAAATGTATCCCTACCATAAGTTATTTCAGAAGGAAGCTTGGCAAAAATATTATGGGATCTGAACAGATCCCATACAGTTCTTTATATAACTATAGACTTAAGAATGAGAAGGGATAGTCACTTTAAAATCATTTTAGTTTGAAATTTATAATTTCTGAGAAATCCTGAAAGTTTCTTTTAGCTTAAGGATTAACAGGTAAACCATGTCTCATTGTATCACTGACAATATATTAATTTCCTATTTAGTTGTAATTACAGGTGAGACAGTGTGCTTGCTCGTCTAATTAGACAAGATATAAAGAATGGGTTGAATGAATACTACTACCATTTTCTTTCTTTAGATCACCACTTAAATCACTTAAAATTATTCAAAGCTATTCTTCTGTAGGCACTATTCTAAATGAGCAAAACCAGAAAGCCAAATTTTGGTTTTCAACTTTGATACATAAAAACATACAAGACATTTCATAGATTTTAAAAAACAAAATTAACAGCAGTCCAGTGGTGGAAAACATCCAATTATACATTAGCTTTGAAATGATAACAAGGCTAGGATGAATGTGAACAAGTACTCTATCCTAAAAATGAGTAAGTAACCAAGTAGTGATTCACAAATGAAACCTACAAGGCCAAAATATGACAAATCCAGCTATGAAAAGTTCAAAGTCTGAATGATACAAGATTATGTTGAAAGTATTGGAGATAAAAATCAATGTTTAAGGGAAAGTATAGAACACTTTATTGAATTTTTCTCTTCCCCAAATAACAAGGCAGAGGGTAGTTTTGAGAATCTTATCTACCAAGGTTAACTTGGCTAGTAAGTTATTCACTAAACGCATCTGTTCTTAATTACACTGTTCAATTTTCAAATAAGATCATTGCTGTTGTAGCAAAACCAAATCAAGAACACAAATTTTCCAGTTAAAGAATGAAAATACTTTAACTTTGCTAATTTCAAAATAGTTCGACACTGAGAATTAAGTATAGTTAGAAAAACCACTCTAAAATGACAAAATCTAGTATAGGTAAAATATTTAAACTACCTTTAATAATAATGGGTAAATCTGACAATATGACTAAAGATTCCCTTTTAATTTCTTTTCAGTAAGTGTTTCTCATACTTGATTTATATTCTTGAAAGCTAAGTTGTGCAAAGTGACAAACACCTATTCGTTGTGTTTATGTGCTTGTTTCTTCCACTCAAAGCAGAGATTCTCATGGGTAATGACAAGGCTTCCTTATTTTTTATCTCCTGGGACTAGCCTACTGTGCCAAACAGAGCAAAACCGAAGTATTGATTAAATGAGTATCCCTAGGTCTGTGGGTCTTAACCAGAGGCAGGCCTCAGAATCACCTAGGGGACATTTCAAAATTATGCCTGTTCCCAGAGAAAATGATTCCATAAATCTGCTAAGATCCCATATACTATATTTTTTAAGATCTCTGCTCAATATCCTGATACATAAATGCAACTCATGTCAAAACCCACAAATATACAATGCAAAACCCAATCTAAGATTAGAGACTTTAATCTGAAAACTTTTATGTCAGTAGTAGAAAGCTAGTATCTTCTTTACTAGAAAAGGATCATTATAGTCAAAAGGATTTGGAAAATTTTCAAGAATTGACTGTGTATTAGACTGACAAGGGGTACTGAATCCTTGAATTAAGTAACATATAACCTAACAACAGATACAAGTAGTAGTTTTCCCCCTAGTTCTAGTAAGAGTATTCAACTTTGTATTTGTAGGAACAACGAAAACTACAATACTGCAGATGAGGATGATAAAAGCAATGTTAAAGTCACTCTTAATAAAATTAAACACCAAGGTCACCGTGATTAGCATCCATGAGTCACACAACCATCCCACAAATTTAGCTGGCTACAGAAGCACCTTGAGGGTCTTAAAGAAACCCCTGCAAAACCATGTATCCAGCCTACAGGCTCTTTGGGGATAAGTGTATTTTAAGATACCCCTAGCAATTAGTTGGCACCTGGTAGTTCCCATAGTCCCTGAAGAGATTAATCAAAAAGAAACTCACTCCTACTTTCAAAACTTAGGTTAGTGAACGGCTTAGTTCACAAGTTAGCTATAACCTGAGAGTAAGAGTAAAGTCAAATCCCAATTATTTAAATGTGAACTGGGAAAGGAAAGCAATAGCTTATCTCAGGTAGCAAGACCAAGTAACATTCATTCATTTGATGGAACAGAAATCGAAATGGTTCAGAATAGCAGAACAGCATGGAGTTTAAGAACTTAAGCTCTTGAGGTAGACTATCTGATCTCTTAGTCACTTAACTAGCCGTGTGACTAGACAAGGAACTTAACCTCTCTGTGCCTGTTTCCTTATGTATAATATTGAATGGTAAAGAGCATCTATCTCAAGAGAACTGTTGTGAGGATTAATGAGTTGATTCTTATAAAGGGCTTAGGAACAGTGCTTGGTACATAGTAAATGCTAAGTCCTAACTATTATTAGCAGTACAATAATGCAAAAGAAAACCTTTTTGATTATCAAAAACCTAAAGGATGACAGAACAGTTAAGACACATTGTGGAGCCAGACTGTGCAGGTTCAAATCCCAATTCTGCCATGGTATAACTCTGGGTGTTTTTTGACCTTTCTGTGCCTCAGGTACAGAATGGGGTAACAATTTAATCGTACCTACTTCCTTGAGTTGTTGTAATATTAAATGAGTTAATACAGGTGTCTCAAATAGTTCTGACACATTGCAAACACTCAAAACATTAATCCTCTAGGCTCGGCTCACATATTTTATGTAAAGTTCTTTTTAAACTTCCCCAAAATACAAGCACCATAGTTATTCTGTTTAATAGGAGTAGTAAAATAGTCTATGGTCCTCAAACACCACTAATCAACTTGGGAGTTCCCATTTTTGATTCTTGTTGTTTAATAAATAGCCCTATAAAACCATACTACAGCTTATTAAATAAATAATATAGTAGAAAACCAAGTAAGATTATTTGATAAGGCTGCCTGGTCTAAGAAATACTCAAAATACTGCAACGTAGCTTTAGGAAAAAACAAATCCTAAGGCTTGACCAGATGACTACTAATGGCTAAAAATATCCCAATGATAAACATTTCAATAAAGTATCAACAACGAATACGGACATCTTAATGTTTGGAATTTGGGGGCTTCAGACAGTAAATTCAAAACAAAGAGATACATGACACAAGAAATACTATACTAACATCAATGCCTACTTGACCTCATATTTCTAGAACAGAGGTCCCTAAATGAGCCATTTCCCATTACCTCTCTACTCACTAAAATTCTGTTTGGATCTTGGATTTTTTGTTTTGTTTTTCTTCAAGTTTCATCCTGTGATTCTGACACTAACAGCCAGATACCAAGCCACGTGCCTTTCAAAAACTTTCTATAGGTTGAATTAACAGTCCCACATAAACACTTTCTCCAATTTGGAAACTATTATATCCAGTTTCTGTATTACGCATATTTTCAAAATATTTACAACAGAAGACAATCTGGTATTAATGAAAGAACTAAACCAGGGAAGTTCTTTAATTAAAGTTTCTGAGGATTAAAAATAGTGATATTAAATAGCAGTAATAATAATCTGAGTGCCATGTGCTAGGGGCCTGTTCAAAGTCACACATTATCCTCTTTAATCCTAAAATAAAATCTAGAAACCTAGTTTTGCTCACTGCTGCATCCCTGGTGTCTAGAACATACTAGGCACTCAACTATTGTTCATACATAACAAGTATTCATTTTAGAGAGGCATACAAATAACTTGTCCACTCCTAGAACTCTAACTGGAGTATTTTTACCCCAAAGTTCACATTCTTAATTATATTGCCTCTCTAGAGCTTTTAAATCAGTAAGTGTTGTCACAGGAGTTGGGTATCACCTGTAAAAGAAAAAAAATCAATGAGACCTTCCTTTAAAGTGTTCTGTTCCACACACATAAAAAGCTATGGATCTGAAATTATTCCACATCTTAGTAACCTGAACTAATTCTCATATATAAAAGATTTTGATTCGTATTGAATGTTATATTCTTTGTATTAACTATGCTGTAAAATATGACTGTGCTTCTCCAATGTATTGTTGGCCTTAGAAGTGGTCAGAGATGCTTAATCCTTTTTACTTTAAATCTTAACTCCTAAAAATTTTTTCCTTTCCTTTTCTATTCTCTCAAAAACAAAGATTTAAGTTTATATTTCACATAAACTCACAATGACAATGCAATGATGGACTAAATCAAAATTCAAGATTTCAGCCTTAATACATTGCATGAAGATCTGAACCATCATCTTTCATAATACGTTTGGTCAAATAAACTCCAAAGTTACACGTATTAAATAAAATTAGGCAGCATCAAGTCTACTAAGTAAAGCCAAGTCCTTGCCATTCCTTCCACGTAGAGCCCCCTTAAAAAAAAAGTAACCCATCCAAACCGAAGTTTCTAACCCACAACCTCCTCTGTCTTCTAGTTTTAGTAAGGCTGAATTTATTCCATGACATTTTTTTCAAGTTAGCTGTAAATACTCCACCCTCCTCGATTGTGCAAGAATCAAACACACCACACATAACACAAGTTACAAAAAAGGGAAATACAGTCTCAGAGTTTGAATATAAAGTCTTGAGCAGGTTGTCTTAAGAGCTGTGTACAATCTGATGTCAAAGTTAACATTTAACAAAGAATATTATTTCATATTATTATGAAAGGAGATGCCGGAAAAAGCCTGAACCAGTTAAAGCAGCCGCCATCTTAAAATGCGGGATAAAGTTAGAGCAAGAAAATGAGACTAAACCACCGGAGGTGGAGGTTCCGCTTACCCCCCCCATCCCGAGCCTCGAAAAATCCTTTTTTTTCAACTTCTATCGATAGTTTATATCAAACCACGTTTTAAGTAGCGAAACAATCTTCTCCGAGAGTGTTATTAAATGAGCTGAGGCAAAATAGGTGCACCGAACCTTCCCTTACTGCCATCACACCCCTAGTCCCTCCTTCCCCCCAAAAGAAGGGAGCTTCCAGAAGCCTTTTACATCAGTTCCCGGTGTCCCTCTGATAAATAGCTTCCGGTGAGAAGTTTCTAACTACAAAACATAGAAAGTAGTAACATAGTGTCAGCCCATCTCCTCCCAACCCCACTTACTCTTGTGTAACCTGCCCAGAGTCGATGAAGTTTTGACTAGGCTCATTCACTACATTTCAGCCGCCAGGAGACTTCTACACCGACTCCCAATTATTCGGGACCCGCCAGATTTCAATGATCTCCCCTATGAGTTTCTTATGATTCTTCCCCCTAGAAAACCCAAGAGCCTTTCTCTTACAGCTGAAGTTTTTAAGCACCGAGAATAGGAAGCGCCATGACATCTGCGGGAGCGTCTCTGGTCAATTCTGACCCTCAAACAAGAATTCTTCTTTTAGAAGCAGAACCAAAGCGCCTGAAGTCACTCTCCCCCACCCCTAATTTGCACCGATTCCACCGAAACATAAGATACACCTCATTCGCCACAAGGGTTCTGTTTCTAGCTTTAAACCTCATTTCTTTAAAGTACATCTGCGTTTCCCATCCCCCAACAGAAGTGACCCAAGGAGAGACGTTTTCGTAATTATACTTCCTCCCCACCCCCACGCTTTCCTCCGAGACTAAGCCTTCCTTTCCTCCCACGACCCCATTCCCTTCAGCCCCACGGGTTACCTTATTAATCCGTTTCAGCGCCATAGTCTGTGCTTTTCGTCTGGCTCCTCACTCTCTCGGTGTGTGCTCAAAGGTCCGGCCAAAACTCTTGATTATCCGGGCGGCAGGGAAGGATTGTCTCTTCGTCTCACACCGGCTCTGCCAGACACAGGCGCCTTTTGCAAAAACGGAGCAGATCAGCACTCGTACAGGCCCCGGATGAGACCCTGATGAATCCAGGTCCCTTAAAACGGTCGCGATCCGGGGTGGGTGGGGTGGCGTGGCAAAGCCACCAACAGCCTCTATGCCGTGCTTCGGCCCGAAGAGGAGGCGAGGGTGACGGGAAGAGCGGAGGGGCGGCTACAAGTTTGACTTCCCGGCCTCTCGAAAGGAAGAGACCCGGGTGGGAGAGGAAGAGGCGTAGGAGAAAGGGGTGGGTGCGGGGCAGGGTCCGGAGCCCAGCAGAGGAGGAGCCGGGGCCTAGTCGGCGCTATGCCGGCGTCACTAGGGCAAAGAAAGGCTAGGGGGGAGGGGGAAACAGGAGACTCCGGACTGACGCCGGGCTTCTTTCGGTTTCTGCTCAAAGGTGCGGCCAGGGAGGGGAAAGAAATAATAGAGGAAAGACTCGATGTGTGTTGCTGTCCCCGCAGCTACAGCTATTCTGTGTCGGCCCCTGACGCCACCGTACACTCCGCCTTCCAGCGCGCTCCCGCACGCGCCCGCCCAGCCACCGCCACCACGCGCCCGTGCTGCCCCTGAGGCTCCGGCTCAGGCGCGAAGACGCGCCCATTCCCCCACCCCCTTAAACAGGAGAGGCCCTGGCTTCCCCAACCTTCCCACCCTACCCCACCCAACAGGCTGGTCACTCAAGCCACCCCAGGCCTGTATTTCCCCTCTTACCCGGCCGGCCAGTGGGCCGGCCTCCCTTCCCTTCCCCTAGCCGTCCACACCCACGCGTACAGAGGGGCCGGGGCCTCCCTCAAGCTGCGGCCTCGGCCTCCTCCCCGCGCGGCAGCTGGTGCCTCCCCGGCCCTACGGGGCTCACGCGCACGACACAGCCACAAGATGTCCGCTCTGACGGAACTACTGCCAGCTGCCACGCTCCGCCCCTCCCCCCTCCTCCTGCCTCTTCACCGCCGCGTATCAGTCCGCCAACGCCGCCGTCGCGAGCACAGGACGAATCTGAGGGTGAAGGGGAACGGTTTACTTCCTACGTCCAAGGCCGAGTTTATCTGTGCTACCCCCTTTTCCTTCTTTTTCGGAACAGCACCTTCTTACTAAACAGATCGGAGATTGGACTGGGAGGGCGGGGGCCGGAGGCGGGTCATGGGCTGGGGGGAAGGGTGGATGAGCGGCGGAAACCCTCAGATTCAGAGAAGCATCGAGAACCGGAAGAAGACCATGGGAGGAAGGTAATGGAAGCGGCAGCTGCGCGGTCGAGACTCACGCCCCTCCCAGCAGCGTCCCCCAATTTCCTCACTTGGTATTGAGGCGGCGGATCTCGCGAGAATCTCGTGGCTGGCTAGCAGGAGCTATAGCTCTGCAATGACTTAAGGGCAGTTTTGTGCGCTCTTCCTGATGGGGGCCCGCCCCCAAACCCACAAATTCTCGCGAGATGCAATAGGCACCGGCTCGAGTTGGGGCGGGCTGTCTCCTGGAAGCACCGCCCCTGAATGCTTATATTGGTGGGAGGGAGAGGAAATGGAATTCCCCGGACTGGTTAGAGCGCGCGCCGACACATCCGTCTTTCACGCGCCCAATCGGGAATGTGCAGTGGGAGGTACCACGGTCTAATTACTAGATGCCTTTAGTCCTGGTTGATCCGGGGTTTTGAAGTTTTCGGTTAAGCAGGTGAGCGATATTTACTCGCCTGCCCCGTGGGCTGGTTAACCAGTGGGAGGAGGCACCCCTCAAAATGGAACAGTCATTTTAAGTAGAACCCAGCGGACCGCTGATCAGCGCTCTCACGTGCTGAAATATAGTGCATTTCTGACCTAGAGGGTCAATGTTGAAAAGAGTGGGCCCATATAGCCCTTCCTAGAATTACAGCAGGCTAGAAATCAAATTCAACTATGAATTAACAAGGAGGATGGGGAGATAGGGGCGGGCTGTATATTTGCCTCGCCCCGTCCGCCAAGATTGAGATAACGGGAATAGGCTTAAAAACTTTCCTCCTCTTTCAATTTCTAGATCCACAGAGTTGCAGAACTCAAGAGATCAGAGTTTTGGGTCAGAAAAACTTGTTACTTAACTGAAATATCCGGGCGGGGCAGAAATAGAAGGATGGAATTGGCCTGTTTTAATCTGCCGGATGTAAAATATGGAGAGGGTGGTTTGGCTCTCTGTGTATCCTTCAGGCAAAGGGTAGTACGACATTAATTTTTAAAAGGAATAAAGGTAAGCGCTGACTTGTTTAAAGTTTTCTAACATTCCTTTCTAACCTAACGAAGTGGGTATTTTAAAGAATTAAATAGAAATATAAACTTGTTTTTAAAATATACTTAAAAATAAAAAAGAAAACATCAAGTTCTTGTTACAATAAAGTATTACCTAATAACTAAAATAGGTCTGTGATGAATGGGCTAATGTATACTGTTTAAGTGGCCAGAATGAGTGTCATAGAGCAATTAGTGAAACAGTGCTTCTCAAGCTAGTATCTATGTGAGTCACCTGAGGATTTTGTTCAGAATGCAGATTTTGATTTAGTAAGCCTTGGTGGAGCATGAGAGTCTACAGTTTTAACAAACTCCGAAGTGATACAGATTATTCTGGTCAGAAGACAACCCTGTGAGTAGCAGAGCACTAAAGTGCTCATCACATAGCCTATTTCCCTTCTTCCAAAATAATCTTTGTTCTCTGTTTTAACCGGTCTGATATACTTTTTTTTTTTAAGATTTTACTTATTTATTTGAGAGAGAGAGAATGAGAGACAGAGAGCACGAGAGGGAGGAGGGTCAGAGGGAGCAGCAGACTCCCTGCCGAGCAGGGAGCCCGATGCGGGACTCGATCCCGGGACTGCAGGATCATGACCTGAGCCGAAGGCAGTCGCTTAACCAACTGAGCCACCCAGGCGCCCCTAACCGGTCTGATATAGTAGAAACAGAATTAGGCAGTTGGGGCAGAGGATGAAATACAGGTTTGAGTTCTTGCTCTAATCTCATTTGGGTGATACTGTGTTGTTACCATCTTAGTTTTTTCCAACACTGAACTATACATAATAAGAGCTGTCCTTTTTCACAGGGCTGTGGTATGGTTCAGATGTTATAATGTATGTAAAAGGGTACTGTACACCTCAGTGCTGTGTAAACATAAGTTATTAATGTAACCAGTCAGACATTAACTGGCCATCATGTGAAACATGTGTAAAAATAATCATAAATATAGGTAATGTTTATGCAACAGTTGTCATGTGTCAGGTACTGTGCATATTAACTCCTTTTACAAATAAAGAAATTGATGCACAGGGAGATTAAGTTACTGATCCCAGGGTCACATAGCTAATAAATGGCAGAAGTAGAATTTGAACCCATGCAGTTAACTTCAGGGTATTTAACCAGTGGAGTTTCATATTGTCTTCTAGTTTAGAAAGTAGGAGAGTAGGATGTTTTATATTTCTACTTTCAGTGTCCTCTGAATCTCATTTCGTTTGGCTTATTTTTCCCTCTGTTTTGTTCTTTCAGAAGTTATACAAGAGTGGTAGGAAACATCGCTCCCTACCCAAAGGGAACTCACCATATCCAGGAGGTCCATAAAGAAAAGTCCGAGATAAGCCAATTTGTATTACCCTAATCTAAACAAGCTTCAGTATGAAAAGTATAATGGAACATGTTAATGCTCTTAATTAACAATGCACAGCAGACTGGGACAAATTTGAGGTCAGAGTTTTTAACTTTTGTGCCACAGACTACTTTGGCAGTCTGGTGAAGCCATGGACTCTTCTAAGAATGTTTCTAAATGTATAAAATAAAATTCATAGCAATAGTTATAATGTGATACAAAGTATCTCATTCCTAGTGGTGATACAGACATAGGTATAGCTGTTTGTTGCTTACATTCAAAATTGAAGGAAATGCTAAATTTCAGTTAGAGATTAGTAAAAATAAAGATGTATTTTTTTTTTCTCCCATCCAAGTTCACATACTCCCTGGATTCTATCCATGAACTTCATGATAAAAAATTTCAGGTAAAGTCTAGTGGGCTTATTCCTCTTAGTAAGCCTTGAGGGGATTGTGAAATATTAACATACAGTTATAATTTATATCCATAACAATAGTGATTCATTAAAAAAAAGTTTAATTACTACCAGTATACTCTCATTAAGAATGCGTGGAAGTACATAACAGTATTAGGAAATAGTTGTATCCAATTTGTTGATTTTATTTATTTATTTTTTAAACTATATCTATAATCATACCCTATGGAAAACTTTCCTATCCAGATGACTCATTTCCCAAGCGTTCTGGTAACTTATGTTTTACTATATCATTCTTATTTATTACATGCCTTTGCAAATAAGATGTGGTGGAAGAACTGCAAAATGAAAATAATAGCCAAAGATTAAATTAAAATATTGTATAAATTTCTTAATAAGTGTTAATAATTATTATTTGAAGTACTATGTGTGGGGTCTTTTAATTCATTATCTTATCACATCTCCATTACATAGATAAAACACTCAAGATCTGAAAATTATTAACTGGTAGAGTAAGGATTTAAACCTAGGCAGTATGATCTCAAAGCTCACACTCAACCAGTAAGCTGTTTGATTATTTTTTAGTCCTTTGACTAATAGCCAATATTAATTTGCCTAATAGTGCAACAAGTATATATTTGCTGCCTCAATTATGCATTTCTTAGTATTCCAAGTAGAATTGCACCCAGTGACTGAAAGGAATTTTTTAAATTCTTCCTTTGCAGCAATATTGCTTATAAGATCCAACACCACCTTTAAGTAAGTGGGTGACCATTTGGGGCTGGAAAATTGTTTTGCAGAGATTTTTGTTGCAATGGAGTTTTGCTTAGAAAAATCCACTTATGCCTTTCCCTGCCCTACAGACATACTTTCTCATCTGAAATTAAACCTGTTTTATAATGGTGCCACTATATTTTTATGTTGACCACTGTCAAGATTGTATACAAGAAATGATGACATATAAATAAATGCTAATATATGAAAGTCTAGATTATATATGCCTGGAGACAAGTGATTGTGTAATCCCAATTTTTTATTTGGCACTGAAGTGAATTTATTGGTTGATTACACCTTCTATTTATTTGCTTGTAGTTACACTAGCAAACTTAACAATTTTACTCAATTTTGTTAGGGGTAAAATTAAAAGGAACATGACCTAGAAGCATTTGATGCTTTAGGGCAGCCTAGGGTTAGCTGAAAATTTAAAACACTATTTACATATCTAGTGTTAGACTCACTTTACAGTTGCATATAAGGTTAAAATTGACTTTCATTAATTTGACTATTTGAATTACAGTGGTTGAAATGTCTCTATCTGATAAAAAGGAAAGACATGTTTTTTATATTACAGTCTTACAAAGGGCTAAAAAGATTTTATATATGAAAAAACATTGACATTCAAAAATTAATACAGATACAAAAATGTTGAAAAGATGAGTTTTAAAAAATCCTTCTTAGTGAATATTGAAGTCTCAAAAACTTTCTAGTTATGGTAGATCAGATCTTGCGTGAATTGATGTAAAACACAAGAAAAATATAAAGAATCAAGAAGATTAGTATAAAAGTGGCAATGAAGTAAGTAATAAATAACTAATGAAAATGTGTCAAAGTCCTAATGTTATGTGAACATATCAGCAAAGCCACATAATTATAAAAACCTTAGTGCTGGGGTTAATTAAAATGTACTTGTGAATAAATACAGTTAACATAGATTGATATGTATACTTAGGTTTATGGAGTCCGTATTGTCAGATCTTTGTAACTTTGTCATGGAATTTTATAACTTGCTAAGGATACTGGCTTGCTAGGATACTGGCTCTAACACACTGTATGCCATTTTATTAGTTTAATTAAATTGTAAATGCTGTGGTCCAGAATCTATGCTTACATATGCTGCTTGGAATAGGTAATTTAGAACCCAGGTCAACCAGTATTTCATATTGTTTGCATAAAAGTTATATTATTCCTTCTCTATACTTTACCAGTTTAGAATCTCATTTTATGATCAAGACAAGTTAATGTGGTTTAGGGAACTGTATTTGTGCTAAGAACATCATTTTGACCTTACATTAAGATGGCTTTTGGTACATAATGAACCATGCACAAATGTTTGAGCTAAAAATAAATTTGAGCATTTTCCCATAAAAACCTGTATACATGAATGTTCAGAGTAACATTCATAATAGCTAAAAAGTGGAAAGAACTAAATGTCCATCAGCTGATAAATGGATAAATAAAATGTGATATATCCATATGATGGAATAGTATTAGTTAATAAGAAAATATGAAATACTGATACATGTATCTTGAAGCTTGAAAATATTCTAAGTGAAAAAACCCAGACACAAAGGCCACATGTTTCATTCCATTTATAGGAAATGGCTAGAATAGGCAAATCCATAGAGACAGAAAGGAGATGACTGGCTGCCAGGGATAGGGGCAGGGAGAATGGGAAGTGATTGCTAAATGAGTATGGGGTCTTTTGGGGGGAGATGGTGAAATGTGCTACATTGAGATAATGGTGATGGTTGCAGAACTCTACAGATACACTAAAACCCCCTGAATTGCACACTTTGAAAGAATTTTATGGTATGTGAATTATCTCAGAGTTTTAAAAAAAAAAGTTAATTAGAACCAAATATGAAATCAACCTGAAGCTTATTACTATTTTCAATATCTCAACATTCTCAGATTACTGATGATAAATGAGATGCGGCATCCTTGTAAAATGAAAAATTTACAGCCAGCAGTAGGTTTTCCTTCAATACAAACAGTATAATTAATCCAGATTAGATTTTAATACAACAGTAAGCCTTTGCTATCTGTTAGGCTTTTTTTTTTTTTTAAAGATTTTGTTTATTTATTTGACAGACAGAGAGACACAGCGCGAGAGAGAACACAAGCAGGGGGAGTGGGAGAGGGAGAAGCAGGCTTCCTGCGGAGCAGGGAGCCCGATGCGGGGCTCGATCCCAGGACCCTGGGACCATGACCTGAGCCGAAGGCAGACGGTTAACGACTGAGCCACCCAGGCGCCTAGTTAGTTTTTAATTTGGGGGTATTTTCACCAATCTTATTTAATGAATAAAACATAGTGATTAAAATTAATTTTAAGTAGCACTGTATTTCACTTGAAAATAAAAGTTTGAGAGTATGGCCAGAAATAGAATACATCCAATTACAAATAGTCTAAACAGATAAAAACTTTTCTTTAAAATTTCAAATGAAATCAAGTTAGGTTGAAAATCATGGATAAATCATCTAGATAAGGATTTTGAGGATTAGGTAGTGTCAAATGAGAAAAACAATGTAGTAACAAGTTTGATGTCTTTTATTGAAGGGAAACAATCCATCTATTGGGGGAGCATACTACCTAACAAACAGTAGAACACTCTTTTCAGGGGATTTTGGACAGGAGCGGGTTGTACAGAGCATTAGAAGCAGTAAGATGGTAGCAGTAGGATTGGCTAGGAGGCCAGGGATTTCCTTGTAAGGCTAACAGGTCCTGTGTTTTAGGGTAAGGTAACCTAGCTAAAGCTGAGTTGAAGGATTGTGATTGGTGTATGCTAGGTTTCCCTAGCAGGTGTTTTCCATAAGCTCTGGCTGATTTACGTTTAGGTTTGTGATGCGGGCCTGGCCACTGAGGTGGCCTCAGTTTTGTGGATCCCAGTATACAAATTAACTTTATCAGTACTTAACTAAAAAATAAATACTTTGAATTAATATTACTTTCCAACAATAGATATAATCTTTGTTGCTTCAATAACAATGTAAAAAAGTCCAAAGGAAACATATTGTGATTTAGACCAGATATGGATCATTGTTTTACCAATACTGGATTTGATTATTTAAATATATCTATGTGAGAATTCTTTAGTAAATTAATAAGTTCTTTTATTAAAGAATTGTAAGTTAGGAGTGATGGGAATGCTGTACATAGTGGTTCTGAAGGATCTGATCTATATAGTATCTAAGTAAATGGAGGCACTATGTGAGACTTTTTTTTTTCTCAATATTTATTAGAGTGTATATGCTCTAATAAAGGGGGGAGGGGCAGGAGGAGAGGGAGAATGAGTTTTAAGCAGACTCCATGGTGATTGTAGAGCCCATGTGGGGCTTAACCTCAGGACCTGAGATCATGACCTGAGCCTAAACCAACAGTCAGATGCCTAACTCACTGTGCCAGTTTTTGATACACAGTATTTGGTACCTGTTGATTTTTTTCACTGCACAAAAGCAGTAATTTTAACACACGGCACTAAAAGAATGAAACTAAGAAACATTTCACTACATCTAAAAAAACCTTAACGAATTTGACTTATTTGGTGTTGAAGAAATGTGACAGTTTCAGAGATATCCCATCATCAAAACATATTAAATCCTAAAAGTTAACGATTAATAATGAGATTGGTCTTTACCCTATATATACTTGGTAAGAGAACAGTATGATACAGGTTCTCCACCTTACAAAAAGACCCGTACAAAAATGGAGAATCTTGGGTGCTACAATACTTGAAATTCAGCTCTCCGAGAATACTTTCAACAAAACCCCCTGAGATTTAAGATATAATTAGATAGTCACAGATTTTTGTGAATTTAACTTTTCCTTATTTTCCTTCTTTCTATTCTGCAATAATGGAGAGAAGGAGATTACCCTGGAGCATTTTAGGGATAAGGCTTAATTCCTACTCCTGGCTTGGATAGGGCTATAATTAGGGACAAAAGGTAAGGACATCGGAGACTACACGGAAAGGTGTGCAGGAAGAAGCGGGAAGAAAAATGTCAAAGGCAAAACTATTCTTAAGGAAACAAGGAATAAGGAGGATATTTTTTTCTTCCCCCTCTTTGCTCAAGCACTAGAAGATCTACTCTTGAGCATAGAATTCAGGCTACCACCATTATGGTGGTTCAGTTTTACACAACTTGATTGCCATTTCTATACTTGCTAACTTGAAATTTAGTCACTATAACATTGTTCACATATGATAGTGCATTCTGCCTTCCAAAAAAGCCTCCTTATTTATGGCTTTTAAAAACATCCATTTATAATATGGGACTGCTTTTGATGTAGGTTGAGGCAGAATCAAAGAGACTCATACAGTTTGTCAGTCAGTGATATTTGCGTCTAACTAGGCCAAGTGGAAGTTTCTCCCTAAGTGAAGGTTTAGGCTGAAGAATGTTAATGTAATAGAGACCTATTGATATAATTACACCCATCTTCCTAAAAAAATATAATGAATGCCTTTTATATGCAAGGCATTGAGCTAGATGCTGAAGATACATAAATGAAAGACCCAGATGTCACCTTTAAGAAAGTCTTTTAATTGGGAAGACCATTAAGGATCAGACAATCACAGTAATGTGATGACATAAATGCATGCATAGAGTAATATTAAGGTACTTAATTTAGCTGGGGGTGCTCAGGGCAAGTTTCTATATGGAAGAGAGCTGTCTTTAAAGAAATGAAAGAAAGGCATAGCTGGTGGGGGGCGGGGGAAAGGAGGAAGCTTCCTAGGCAGAGGGAACAACGCAAAGACTTAGAGAACTTGACCTGGTAAGTTTTGGAAACCACAGGTTTGGCAAGTACTTTGGATTGCAGTTGGGGAGTAGAGGAGGGCAGAGGAAAGAATGAATGAGAAGAGACAAAACAGTTGAAAGACAAGGCTGGATATATTGAGGGCCTTAACATGCCATGGTAATGAGTTCAGATTTTATTCTGAAGGGTATGGGATGGGAGAATTGAATTTTAACATAAAGTCTTGACCAGACTTTAATCACAAGAAGATAACTATGTGATAGCAGTATGGAAGATGTAACTGAAGTGTGTGTTAGAGTGGAGACTAGAAGCAAAGAGACCACTTGGGATGCTATTGAATAGTTGAGATGTGATTGTGAGAAAGACCTAGAATAGTTGCAGTACTTGCACTAAAGACCATAGTATGTTTAGTGTATTTACTGGGTAGAGTTTATGTTAAAAATTTTTCTGAGGATCCTCCAGTTATTTTTATTAGAATATTATAATAAAATCATGTGTAAAAAAACATTCCAATAAGCTATAACATTGTAATAAAAATAGGTTAAGACCTAATACTTGGTATTAACTCTTTATGCTCTCACCTCTTGAAGAACCTTAAAACTAAAGTTTATAAAATGTAGAAAAATATAAACTAATAAAATTAATATCTGTGTGTAACCTGCGTGCTACTTAAGTTTTTTTACTTTTTACAAATTACCTCTTGAAACGTAAATACAGAACTAACTGCCACAATTTAGGTTCTTCTAAATTTGGAATGTCTGTACTAACTGGTTGTGTTCCATATATGATGACCAGTTTTCTTTACTAAACCTTTAAGAGACCTTTGTTCATTCTTTCACTGATGTTATTTGGCTTTCACATGGCCAGAAAGAAGTGTTTATTATCTATTTCTTTTCTCATTTGCCTAAGAGAGTGCTGTTACACAGTACCAACAAGATCATAAACCTAAACACAACACAAGGCTCTGGAATCACATGGCAGTATTTAGTTATAGGTGGCAATTATGGTGATTTAGACTATGATTGTATTAGGGATTAATGAAATAAATCACAAAATGGGAAAAAATCTGGTAAAGAATTCAAAGATTCTAGTTTGAGAAACACTGATGTAGAGGTTATAAAAAACCTTTTGTCACATACCTGAAGTCATATTTGTTGAGTCTTGACTTTGTGACTCTGAGTAGAGTCAAGAAATGGTAGGCAGGTAGGACAGGTAAGTAACTTGACTCTAAAGTTAAAGTAAAGTGGGGGGGAAGGGCTTAGGTGCATTTTAAGGTTCATTCCTATTCTGGAGCTAAAAACATAGTATCTACTGGGAAAGTAATTCTGTCTCCAGGTCAGCCCACAAAGGGCTGTTCTCTAAATCCAACCTCTCTGTGTTTCATGTTACTATGAGAAAATACTCCTTAGAATTTCCAGTTGATACAGCAGGAATGAGCTCTGCCCATCAGAATGAGGCATCCTACCTTTCTGTTTTGTTAGTGAGAAATTCTCCTACCTTCAAGTAACAGGAATTTATTATTTCCTGTAACTTAGGGCAAGAACTCAAGCAGAGCAGGAATAATTGGACTGAGGGTAAAATCATATTGGGTGGTCAGATAAAAGCTTTAGAAAGTTGGAGATTGGTGGCCAAGGAATCTGTATATTTAACCTTAGATGTCACTCTGTGGTTTAGGTCGGCTCTGGGACCCCCTTCTTTTCTTTTTTAGTGCCAGATTGGTTCACCCATGTTCCTCTCTCCTGCCATTACCAGTTGCTTCCTAACAGAAACCAACAAGCTTTCTTTTCTATCCTGCTAACTAGGCAAGTATACAACCTCACAGAATACAGAAGAAGAATACAATTCTTTTTTTCCTTATACTTTTGTTCCTAAAGCAAGTCTGTACCCTGTTAAGTTTTCATAAGGGTTTTAATTTCTGGTGATAGTATGTTAGTATTTATATATGATTATAAGCAAGCTCCTGGTAGTATGAAGGTCAGCAAGAGAGTAGTTGCAGTGATACAAAGAACTCTTATTTGATCCTGGTTTCCTTCCTGTCATCACTTCCAAGCCCCCACTCAACAGATCAGACTCAATAGAAAAAAATCACAAGATTCAACTGTACTTTAAAGGAAAATTAGAAATGGTTTCTGTAATACTCTTGATATAACAAATTAGTATAAATTCAGTGACTTAAGACAACAGTTATCTTAGATATTTGGAGCTCGGAAGTCTGAAATGGGTCCTACTGGTGTAAAATCAAGGTATAAGCAGGATTGGTTCCTTTCTGGAGGTTTGGGGCAGAATCTCTGTTCTTGCCCTTTCCAGCTTTAAGAGGCTGCTAGCACCGTGGCTCATGATCCCCTTCCATCTTCAAAGCCAGAAATGGCTGGTTGAATCTTTCTCATATCACGTCACTCTGACACACTTGCCGGCCTCCTTTCATTTATAAGGATCTTTGTGATTATATTGGGCCCGCATGGATAATCCAGGAAAATCTACCCATGTGAAGGCCAGAGGATTAGCTACCTTAATTCCATCCACAATCTTAATTCCCCCTTGCTATGTAACATAATATATTCATGGGTTCCAGGGACTGAGATACAGACATCTTCGGTGGGGGTGGAAGATCAAGGGGAGACATTATTCTGGCTACCACAGCTATTTATAATTCTTTGGGTACTCTTGAGTTTAAGAGCAACTTTTTTCCTTCCATCAGTTCTCATTTTATTCATTCAAAATATATTTGACTACCTCCTCAAAATATCAAGTGTGAAATGGTATAGAAATTTAAATATACTAAGGATTAGAAACTTGTCAACTAAATTTTGTCACTGATGAGTCAGAATTTTATTGAGATAGTGTTGACAGAATTTAAATTTAAGCACATTGGGGAGTGAATGGAAAGTGAAAAAATGCAGAGCTTGGTCATGATAGGAAGTTAGAAGATAGGGAATTAGCTTAGAGTAATTCAGGGTCAAAGGAGGGTTATTATTATTTTTTTTTAGAATGGGAGAGATTGAGTATATTTATAGTCTAGAGGAAATTGTGAGAGAGATGAGATACAGAACAGAGATGAATAGATGGAGTCATTTTCCTCACAAGATGTGACTGTAGGTCAAAAATAAGAGTATTTGATTTTGAACAATGGGGAAACAGACAGTAGAAGGAATAAGATTAGAATGGGTAAAAATGAAGATAATTTTAAGTAAGAGGCAGAAAGTTGACCATTAATACTCAATTTTTTCAACTTAATTAATTGGAAGGAGTGCTTTATCTATTCATCTGTTGAGGAACGCTCAGGTTGCTTCTGTATCTTGGCTCTTGTAAATAATGCTACAATAAATAAAGGGTTGCATAATCTTTTCAAATTAGTGTTTTCATTTTCTTGGGTAAATACCCAGAAGTGGAATTACTGAGTCATACGGTATTTCTGTTTTTAATTTTTGGAGAAATCTCCATACTGTTTTCCATAGTTGTTACACCAGTTTACATTTCCACCAAGAAAGCATGAGGGTTACCTTTTTTCCACATCTTTGTCAATGCTTATTATTTCTTGTCTTTTGATACTAGCCATTCTGACCACTTTGAAGTAATAGCTCATTGTGGTTTTAAATTTGCATTTCCCTGATGATTATTGATGTTGAGCATCTTTTCATGTGTCTGTTGGCCATCTGTATGTCTTCTTTGGAAAAATGTCTATTCAGGTCCTCTATTTTTAAATTGTATTATTATCGGGGCACCTGGGTGGCTCAGTTGTTAAGCGTCTGCCTTTGGCTCAGGTCATGATCCCAGGGTCCTGGGATAGAGCCCCGCATCGGGCTCCCTGCTCTGCAGGAAGCCTGCTACTCCCTCTCCCACTCCCCCTGCTTGTGTTCCCTCTCACGCTGTGGCTCTCTCTGTCAAATAAATAAATAAAATCTTAAGTTGTATGAGTTTTTTAAGTATATTTTGGATATTAGCCCCTTAGCACATATGTCATTTGTAAATGTCTTCTCCCATTCTGTAGGTTGCCTTTTTGTTGTGTTGGTGGTTTCCTTTGCTCTACAAAAGCTTTTTAGTTTGATGTAGTACAAATTGTTTATTTTTGCTTTTGTTTCCCTTGCCTGAGGAGACATATCCAGAAAAATATTGCTTAAGTCCAAGAGTTTACTGCCTATGGTTTCTTTTAGGAGTTTTGTGATTTCAGGTCTTACATTTAGGTCTTTAATCCATTTTGCATTTATTTGTATAATGTAAGAAAGTGGTCTTAGTTGCATTCTTTTGCATTTAGCTATCCAGTTTTCTCAACACCATTTACTGAGGAGACTGTTTTTTCCCCAATGTGTATTTTTGCCTTCTTTGTTGTAGATAATTGACCATGTAACTGTGGATTTATTTCTGGGCTCTCTATTCTGCTCTATTGATTTCTGTGTTTTTGTGCCAGTACCATACTATTTTGATTACTATATCTTTGTAGTACAGTTTGAAATCTGGATTGTCAATACTTCCAGCTTTGTTCTTTCTCAGAATTGCTTTGGCTATTTGAGGTCTTTTGTCATTACACTCAAATTTAAGAATTATTTGTTCTAGTTCTGTTAACAGTACTAATGGTATTTTGATAGGGATCGCATTGAATCTGTAGGTTGCTTTGGGTAGTATGGAAGTTTTAACAATATTCTTCCAATCCATGATCACAGAACATCTTTCATTTGTGTCGTCTCCAGTTTCTTTCCTGATGTCTTATAGTTTGTAGGGTACAGTTCTTTTGCCTCCTTGGTTACATTTATTCCTAGGTAATTCTTTTTTGATGCAGTTGTCAATGGGATTGTTTTCTTAATTTCTCTTTCTTGTAGTTTGTTCTTAGTGTATAGAAATGCAACAGATTTCTGTATATTGGTTCTTTATTTAGAAAATTTACTGAATCCATTCATTGGTTCTAATAGTTTTTTGGTGGAGTCTTTAGGGTTTCCCATATATGGTATCATGTCACCTGCAAATAGTGAAAGTTTTACTTCTTCTTTACCAATTGGGATGCCTTTTATTTCTTTTTCTTGTCTGATTGCTGTGGCTAAGACTTCTAGTACTGTGTTGAATAAATGTGGTGAGTGGACATCCTTGTCTTGTTCCTGATTTTAGAGGAATGCTTTTAGCTTTTCACTGCTGAGTATGATGTTAGCTGTGGATTTGTCCTATATGGCCTTTATTATGTTGAAGTACATTCTTTCTAAACCCACTTTGTAGAGAGGTTTTATAATGAACAGTTGTTGAGTTTTGTGCAGGGCTTTTTCTGCATTTTTGGAGATGATCATATGATTGTTATCCTTCATTTTGTTAATGTAGTGTATCACATTGGTTGATTTGAAGGTGTTGAATTATCCTTGCATCGCCAAAATAAATCCCATTTGATTGTGGTGAATGATCCTTTTAACATATTGTTGAATTTGGTTTGCTGAATTTTGTTGAGGATTTTTGCATCTCCTTTCATCAGGGATATTGGTATATAATTTTCTTTTTTTGCAGTGTCTTTGGTTTTGATATCAGGATAATCCTGGCTTCACAGAATAAATTTGGAAGCATTCCTTCCTCATCTATTTTTTGGAATAGTTTGAGAAGGATAGGTATCAGTTCTCTAAATGTTTGGTAGAATTCACCTCTGAACCTGTCTGGTCCTATACTTTTGTTTGTTGGGAGTTGTTTTTTTTTTTTTTTTAAAGATTTTATTTATTTATTTGAGAGAGAGAGAATGACAGAGAGAGAACACCTGAGAGGGGATAGGGTCAGAGGACGAAGCAGACTCCCTGCCGAGCAGGAAGCCCGATGCAGGACCCGATCCAGGGACTCCAGGATCATGACCTGAGCCGAAGGCAGTTGCTTAACCAACTGAGCCACCCAGGCGCCCTGTTGGGAGTTTTTTGATTACTGATTCCATTTTGGTACTAGTAATCAGTCTGTTCAGATCTAATTCTTCCTGATTCAGTCTCCAGATTTTGTATGTTTCTAGGAATTTATCTATTTCTTCTAGGTTGTCCAAATCTCATATTCCTTTGTATTTCTGTGTCAGTTGTAACATCTCCTCCTTTGTTTCTGGTATTTTTTTAGAGGGAGGGGGGAAGGGCAGAAGGAAAGGGAGAAAGAGAATCTTAAGCAGGCTCCACACCTAGCACAGAGCCTGATGTGGAGCTCAATCTCACAACCCTGAGATCATGACCTGAGTCAAAATCAAGAGTTGGACACTTAACCCACTGAGCCATCCAAGCTCAATTCTTTCTCTTCTTTTGTTGATGAGTCTGGCTAAAGGTTTATCAATTTTGTTTTTTCAAAGAACCAGCTCTTTCTTTATAATTAATTGATCTACTATCATTACCATGTGCTTGCTTTTATAGGTGGAATTTTTTCCTTTTATAAAGTTTTCTTCTAGTTATGGCCTTTCCATTTTTGCTTATGGACTTCCCTTTAATATTTCTTGTAAGGCTGGTTTAACAGTGCTGAACTTTGTTTATCTGGGAAACTTTTTATCTCTCCTTCAATTCTGAATGATAACCTTGCCCAGTATTCTTGGTTGTAGATTTTTTCCTTTGAGCACTTTGAATAGATCATGCCACTCTCTTCTGGCTTGTAAACTTCCTGCTGACAAATTAGGTGATAGCCTTATGGTGTTTCCCTTGTATGTAACTATTTGCTCTTGCTGCTTTTAAGATTCTTTATCTTTAATTTTGGACATTTTAATTATTATATATCTTGGTGTGGACTGCCTTGGGCTCACTTATTTGGGGCTCTCTGTGTAGCCTAGACCAGGATGTCTGTTTTCATCCCCTTAAATAACTTACGGAGGTTTTTAGCTATTTTCTCAAATAAGTTTTCTGCCCTTTTCTCTTCTCCTTCTGGGACCCTATAATATGAGTGTTAGTATGCTTGATGTTGTCCCAGAAGTCCCTTAACCTATCCTTATTATTTGTTTTTTAATTTTCTTTTGTTTTTACTATTAGGCTTGGGTGCTTTCCATTACCCTGTCTTCCAGATCACTGCTCCATTCTTCTGCATTCTCTAATTTCCTATTGATTCTCTCTAGTGTATTTTTCATTTCAGCTATTGTATTCTTCAGCTCTGATTCTTTTTTATATTTTCTCTCTCTTTGTTGAAGTTCTCACTGAGCTCGTATGCTTCTCTCAAATCTGGTTAACATCTTAATGACCGTTACCTTGTACTCTTTATCAGATAGATTCCTTATCTCTTTCATAGTTCTCTTTCTGAGGTTTTGTCTTGTTCTTTTGTTTGGAACATACTCTTCTGTCTCCTGATTTTGTCTGACTCTGTATTGTTTCTGTATATGGGTAGGTCAGGTCTCCTGATGTTGAAAGTAACGGCCTTATGTAGAAGGTGTCCCATGGGGCCCAGTATCACAGTCCTCTGTGGTCACCAGAACCAGGTACTTCCAACGGTATCTCCTGTCTGGGCTGCATGCACCTTCCTGTTGTGACTGGGCATGATTGCTGCAGGCATACTGGTGGGCAGATCTGGCCTCCAGCCTAGGTAGCTGCAGTGATTAGCCATGACTACTGTGGGCATACTGGTGGGCAGGGCTGGACCCCTGTGCAGCTAAGAGATCTGGCTGTAGTGGGTGTGCTGGTGGATGGGTTTAGCTCCCAGTGTAGCTGGCTAAGAGTCTTAGCTACAACTGCTGTGGGCATGCTGGTGGGTGAGGCTAGCACCACCCCCCTCCCTGGGGCAGGAGTTGCTCTGGAGGTGCACTGCCCTGGGCTGGGGCTGCCCACCATGTGTGGTGGGGTGAAAGTTGCTTTGGGGAAACACTGGTTAAAATTGAGGCTGCTGAGGCACCTGGCTGGCTCAGTTGGTGGAGCATGTGACTCTTGATCTTGGGGTTGTGAGTTTCAGCCTCATATTGGGTGTAGAGATTAGCCCAATAAAATCTTAAAAGCAAAACAAAACAGGGTCTTTGCCAGGTGTGGTGCTGAATGGGCTAGACAGGTTTACAGGGGAATGCTGGGGTAGGGCAAGTGGTGTTATCAGGACAGATGGAGAGTGTCAGAATTGGCTCCCACAACCATCTGGCCAGCTAAGCTGAAAGAAGCAAGAAAAATGGTGCCCACAAGCATTTCCCTGACCCTTCAGCACATACCCTAAAATTAGTAAATTTCCTTCATGTATAACCCAGGTGCTTTTCAAACTGCTGCCTCTGTGTTGGATCTCAGACCAAGTGATACAGTGCTCTGACCCTTTGAGTGGAGTCTTGGTTTCTTATAGCCTTTTGGCTCTCTTGGAGTTAAGGTAAGCCCCGCTGATTTTCAGAGGCAGATTTTATGGGGGTTTCTTTTCTTTGTGCAGGTGCCGAGCCAGAGGCGCCTGATGTGGGCCTTGATTCCCCTTGCTTCTTAGAGAGGACCTCCATTCCTGTGATATCCCTCCTGCTTGTGGGTTGCTGTACCAGGGGTTTGGTTCCTGACTGAGTCTCTGCCCCTTCTACCCTTCTGAATGTGGCTTTTTCTTTATTATCTCTAGCTGTGGAAAAGCTGTTCTGCTAGTCTTCAGGTTGTTTTCAGAGTGACTTGCATTAAATGTAGTTGCAGCCTTGGTGTGTCCCTTGAGGGAGGTGAGCTCAGGATCCTTCTACTCTTCCATCTTCCTTGCAATTGGTACCTTTTGTAGTGTAAAATCAACCGCACTTCTCAAAAATTAATACTCCCATCCCAAGAAACCCAAATGGCAGAATAAAAGTTTATATGCCACATGAGAGGGAGTACAGAAAGAAGTGAGAGTGGCATTTTAAATTTAATTAAGATTCATTCAGCAGATATTTATTGAGCAACTACTATGCATTAGCTTCTGAGCGTGGGCTTGTGGAAAACTTAGATGATCTATTTTCATACTTTTTTTCCAAGAGTCCTTAAGTCTACAAAACAAACTGCCTGAGTTGGAGGCCGAAGCCTTGCCCATTCAGAATCTTTATCACCTCCCTCTATCTCCAATCCCATACCCACTCAGGATACCTCAGATGGTTCTGTGAGTATCCCTAGTGTTCACTGAATGGAGTCTGAAAAACTGATGGTTTAATGAATATTAATACCAAAGCCTCATCATTATAGTCATGTGAGGAACAAATAATATGAAATATATTAGAGATAAGTATAAAGATAGGTACTCAGATGAAGAGAATCTGGGCTAACAACAGATATGTGATAAAGACATGAGAATTTCAGTTGCTTGACATCTCAGTATAAACCAGCAATGTGCTAGGGCTGCCCAAAGAACCTACACAGTTTTACTCTGAAAGATGGAAATATGTGGTCCAGAACAAAGCAGTTGCTTTTTCCACATCTCCATTGGTCAAACCACAGTTTAAAAAAATTTTTTATGGCTTTATTGAAGTACAACTGACATACAATACATTGCATGTATTTAAAGTGTACAGTTTGGTAATTTACATGTATATACCCATGAAACAATCACCAAAATCAAGATAATAAACATATGCATCACTACAAGTGTCTGTGTACTTCTTTGTAAACCCTTTCTGTTGTTCCCCTAACCCCTCTCCCCTTTATCCACAGGAAGCTATTGATCCGTTTTCTGTCCTATAGACTAATTTGCATTTTCTACAATTTTAAATAGAATCAAACAGTATGCCCTCTGACTTTTTTTACTCAGCGTAATTATTTTGAGATTTGCCTATGTTGTGTCACTCAATAATTCATTACTTTTTTATTGAGTAGTAGTCTTTGTATGGGTATGCCACAATTTCCATATCCATTTACCCATCAGTGGACATTCTGGTTGTTTCCACTTTTTGTCTGTAACAAATACTCCCTTTTTTTAAAAACCCTATTTATTTATTTGGCAGAGAGTGAGAGAGCACAAGCAAGGAGGAGTGGCAGAGGGAGGGAGAAGCAGGCTTCCCGCTGAGCAGGGAGCCTGACACGGGGCTCGATCCCAGGGCCCTGGGATCATGACCTGAGCCGAAGGCAGACGCCCAACCAACTAAGCCACCCAGGCGCCTCTGTAACAAATACTCTTGTACGAGTGTTTGTATGGACATAGGTTTTCATTTCTTTTAGGTAAATAGCTAGGAGTGGAATAGTTGGATCATTTGATAAGTATATGTTTAACATTTTAAGAAACTGCCAAGCTGTTTTCCAAGTGGTTGTACTATTTTACATTCTCCCCAGCTGTGTATGAGAATTCCAATTCCTCCTGACTTGTTATGACTAGTCTTTTCAATCAGCCATGCTAATAGGTATGTAGTGGTATATCTCATTGTCATTTTAATTTGCATTTACCTAGTGACTAAAGATGTTCAACATGTTTTCATGTACTGCTTTACCATCTATATTTCTTCCTTGAAGAAAGGTCTCTATATTTTTCCCATTGTTTATCGAGTTCCTTTTGTTTGTATTTATTTACAGGTGATACAAATTAAGCATTTACACCAGCCTTAGAAAAATTTTAAAAAGTCATAACAAGGTAACATATACATGGAGGAATATGAAAAAGGCATGAAGGACTCAACTCATATTGGCTGGTGCCTAAGTCACTTCCAAAACTAAGTGTGCAGACAGTAGTATGCTAGAGTTGGCTTAAGCTGCCTTATGAGTGCCAATTTAAAAATTTTTAGAAATTCTGCAGGCTATTAAACACAGCCGTTATTAAAAATTAATTATAGGGGCGCCTGGGTGGCTCAGTTGGTTAAGCAACTGCCTTTGGCTCAGGTCATGATCTTGGAGTCCCGGGATCGAGTCCCGCATCGGACTCCCTGCTCAGCAGGGAGTCTGCTTCTCCCTCTGATCCTCCCCCTCTCATGCTGTCTCCCATTCTCTCTCTCAGATAAATAAATAAAAAATCTTTAAAAAAAAATTATATAAGCTGACAATTATGTTAAAATTCAATGTATCAGTCTCAGTAAAACTCAAAATTCACTCCCTCATTTTTACTATTTTCCATGTTTTTGTGGTTATGTCTATCATATCCATATAGTAGAAATCCCGTATTATAGTTTGATAATTACACATCTCCTTCCAGTTCTGTGTTCTGTGATGTCCTGTGGTAGCTTGAAACGAGCCAGTGGGAGTATTTACCACCCCCAGATTTGCAGACACCACAATCAAAACTTTTTTTTTTTTCCTGGTGAGTTGTCAAACATTTACCAGCTCACCAGTAATGACAAAGACCTTCAAACTGCACTGACTTACTCTCCATGATGAATAATTGAAGCTTTAGTCACATGGAGAACTCCCTTTTGTGAAACAATTCAAGAACAGATCAATATTTTTGCTGCAGAATAAAGCTTACAAAACCTATTTTCCTTGCTGCTCAGGTTTTTTTTTTTTTTTCTCATTTCCAAGTACCCTGAGGTTGAGAATGCCAAAGTCTACTGGATAAGGGAGCATGCCAATACATTATTTCTGTGGTGACATGTAAAAAATACAAAGTATTTTATTTGAAGTAGAACTAGAAGGGCTGTTAAATATTAAAAAGTGTAATGGACAAAAAAATAGGAAAGGCAAACAGCTCTGTATAACCAAATTTCTATTCATGTAAGAGTAGAGGAAACTAGACTAAAATGAGAGGGAGCAAATGATGATACAAGAGGAATGTTTGGTCTAAACACCCAATCAGCTTTCTAAAGGTGGACAAAGCATTTTTGTTTTAAGTCTAAACTTACTAAAGATGCTGGATATTATTAGAAATGTAAAGTTACAGATGCAGTATACTAGAGCAGTCCAGAGATAATCAAACTATGGGGGACAAGTTCGTAGTGCAAAAGATAGAGCTAATGCTATGGTTGAGTGTCCATTATGATTTAATTTTAAAAACAACTAGGAGAAACTAAGCATTTTAAAAGGAAAACAAACCATCTTAAAGTTCATAGTCTAAATTAAAAAGGCATATACATTTAAAATATAAAAGAAACATATACCATGAACCTTTTTTTTAAAGATTTGAGAGAGAGAGAGTACATGTGGGGGGGGGGGGCAGAAGGAGAGGGAATCCCAAGGAGACTCCCCCCTGAGCACAGAGCCTGACGTGGGGCTCGATCTCATGACCCTGAGATCATGACCTGAGACGAAACCAAGAGTTGGAGGCTTAACTGACTGAGCCATCCACATGCCCTGATCATCATGCATATGACTTTCAGTAAGACACTTATGTCTCACATGAAATTCAAATAGAAGTTAAGATGTTTGCCTGATTTTTAGTAAGATACTAGTACCCTAAAGTACTAATAGTGGTAACTGTTTAGAGTGATGCGTACTGAAGAATATCAGTTTAGTATTAAATTAGAGGGAACAAATAATCCTTAAATCAGTCAATGCCCATATAATCACTTTACTAATGGACAAAATAGATGGAACTTTCATCAAATCAGCAGGTACAGGCTTTATTTTTTAAAGTAAAAATGAGGAAATATATATCCCCAAGGAGGTAACTTCTTTCTCTCTCAAAACTTAAAATTTTATAAAGGAGATTGAATCATCTCACATGAAAATAAGAATATATGGAACTAATAGATGTAATAGAGAACTGCCTGCTGAACACTTCCACAATTACAATGAAATAAATCACTGTTTTCTCCCTAACCTTTGTCCTGATCTCCTAAATCAGTTCCTCTCCTGACTGATTTAAGTGGGACTCTATTTTCTAGTCACCAGGATTCATTTTTTTCTTTCACCCTTCTCATTCCTTACCAGTCTCCATTTTTACATCTTTGGATCTTCAAATGCATATTACACCTTAAATTTTATAACATACATTTAAAAAAGATTCTTGTCATTATATTTGTATAACCACTCTGTGAGTTAAGCAAAAGTTATTAGCATTTCATCATTCTACTAAAGGCCTCCACAGTGATGGGCATGTAAATAAGCAGAATCAGACAGGTTAAATGACTTGCCCAAGTTGACAGGACCAGTAATTACAAGTCCTGTGATTCTAATGTCAGCATTGTTTTCATTACACTATGATGCCTGTCATCAACAACTCCTATTTGGTCCATTACTATAGATTACCAGTGGAGGTCTCTGCCTCTGTTCCTACTTCTTCAGTCTATTTTGCATGTCACTATCAGATTAAACACAGCTTTTATTAAAAGACACCACAATGAAGAAATTTCCAATGGCTTCCTATATAGAGAATACAAATCAGAACTTTATCTCTGCTTTTATATGTGAAATCTCTAATCAAACTGGGCTCCTCATGTTCCTTCAAATATTGTGGGGTGCCTGGCTGGCTCAACTGGTTAAGTGTCCACCCTTGGCTCAGGTATTATCTCCAGGTCCTGGGGTCAAGCCCCACGTCGGGCTCTCCACTCATCAGGGAGTCTGCTTCTCCCTCCCCCTCGGCCCCACCCTCCAGCTTGTGTTCTCTAATAAATAAATTTAAAAATATCTTTCAAATATATCATAACTTTCCTGAGACTATGCCTTTGCTTCTAGCAGTGTTTCCCTTCCTTGAGTTACAAATCCCTGAGTAACAGTTATTGCAGGGACCTGGACATAAATAATGTGTGTGTGTGTGTGTATATACACACACACTATTATGTTTATTACATATTTATAGTTTATATGCTAAACATGTACAACTACTACCTTGTGGATTTTGATAAGAGAGGCAGGGGTATCCAGTAAAATTCTTGACATTAAAAATGAGTCTTCAGGGGGCACCTGGGTGGCTCAGTTGGGTGGCAGCCTTCAGCTCGGGTTGTGATCCCAGGGCTCCCTGCTCAGCTTCTCCCTCTCCCTCTGCCTGTCGCTCTGCCTAATTGTGCTTTCTATCTCTCTGTCAAATAAATAAAATCTTAAAAAAAAAAAATGAGTCTTTGAGGCACCTGGCTGGCTCAGTTGGTAGAGCATAAAACTCTTGATCTTGGGGTTCTGAGTTCAAGCCCCACATTGGGTGTAGAGATTATTTAAAAAATAAGAAAAACTTTTTAAAAATGAGTCGTCTGCAGTTCCACTTCTGGTAATGAAGAACTATGTGGGTTTTGATCATGCTTTAGCTGAGAACAACTAGAAGAGTGAACCAAGAAAAAGAAAAACACATTTCTTTAAAGGCACTGAAAAGCTGCCAAACTGGTGAAGATTGCAGGACCAAGATCTAGGAGAGGGAGACATGTTGGAGAGATGCTTGAATATCTGGGGCCTCCTTTCTGCTGGACGCATCGGTCTTTTCCAAAAACAACTGAGAAGGTAAACAGATTTTTGCAAGCTCACGGGCCTAGGAAAGGGGGCAGGGAGGTTGAAAAACTGGAGTTGAGGGCTCACCAAGGAAGAGATAAACATCTCAGCCTTTCATTTGAGATCCTGAAGGGCTGTACCCTAGCAGTCAAAGTGAACTGAAAATAGATCAGAACTGGCAGGGATTGAATCCTATCTGGCCCTAACTGGACTGTAGTGATCTGAGTCTGCTAAAAGCCCCAGTTGAGCTGCCTAACGGAAGCAAAAGAAATCCTCTCTAGAGGAAAGTACTGCTATCAAGAGCTTCAAAATACTTCTGCAATCTTTTATATATAATATCCAGCACACAGAAAAAATAATCAGGTATATGAGAAGGTACGACAAAAGCAGAGAAGCAACAGATCATAGAAACAAACCCAACGGGGATTATGAAACAAAGACTTTAAAATGCTGTTTAAAATGCTCAGGAACTTATAATCTAAGAATAAGAATGTGTGTAGAGAATGAAAACACAAATGGAAATTCTATTGTTCAAAGATTGCTAACATTAAAAACCCAGTGGATGGACTTAATAGCCAATTATACAGAGCTAAAGACAAAATGAGGGAACTGGATGAAGTTCAGAAGAAAATATTCAGATTTACAGAAACAAAAGGATGAAAATATGGAAAAAATTTTTTAAAAAGTGGAAGAGACTTATGGTATAGAATAAAAAAGAAGTTTAATATAGTTATAATTAAGACCGAAAAGGAGAGGAATGAGAAAATATAACAAAGTGATACTGAAGAGATGTCTAAAGTAAGTAAAAGGCATCATGCCTTGGATTCAAGAAACACTGTAAACTAGAAAAAGGCAAAAACCACAGCTAAGCACATCATAGTAAAACTGCTGAAAACCAAAGAGAAAAATTTTAAGCATCCAGAGGAAAAAGACAAATTATCAAATGAATGACAGTAAGACCACTGCTTTGCAACCAAAATGAGCTATCTTTAGAGTACCAAAGGAAAATATCAACTTAGAATTTACGTTCAAACAATATAACTTTCAAATATTGAGGCAAAATAAAGACATTTTCAAACAAACAGAAACAGAATTTGTCACCAGCATTTTTGCCTTATAAGAAAGAGTGGACCTTGGGCAGAGAAATGATCTCAGATGGATGCTCTCAGATTATGGAAGAGATGAGCAATGAGAAGGAAAAATATATAGGTAAATCTCAATAAATAGTAACTTTACAAAACAATGCTAATATATTGTGATGTTAAAAACATACAGATTTAAAAACGTAACAACACGGTAACTGAGGAGAAGGTAAACAGACTTAAAGTGGTCCAAGCTGTTCCCATTGTCCAGGAAGTGGATAAAATACTAATATATCCTAGGCTTTTAAAAATCAAGGATGTACGTTCTAATTTCCACAGGAATTAAGAATATTAAAAGAACATAAAACCAAAAAGCTAAACAAAAGGAAACAATGAAATTAAAAAAACAAAACTTGAAAAATCCCCAAGAAAGTAGAGAAAAAAGAATGAAGAACAGGTGAGACAAAAACAGCTGGATGGCAGCTTTAAAGCCAATCTATCAGTAATTACATTAAATGCAAACTGATTATCCCAATTCAAAGACAAAGACTGTCTTGGACTTATAAAGGTATACTTTTAACGTGTTTCAAGAGACAAATCTTAAATGGAATGCAGAAAAGCTTAAAGTAAAAAGATGTGTATCATGCAAAAACTAACAAAGATGGTGTGATTATGCTAAATCCAAGTAGATTTTAAGCAAGAAGCAATACAAGAGATAAAAAGTTCACAGGCGCCTGGCCGGCTTAGTTGGTAGAGCACGGGACTCTTGATTTCAGGGTCATGAGTTCAAGCCCCATGTTGGTCATAGAAAAAAAAAAGTTCATGTGTCCAAGAGTCCTAACAGGAAACAAATGATACACTCAGGATCATTTAAAAGTTTACTTACAAAGGGACTAATTACAAATATGTGTGTGTAGGGTATAAGAGAATTACAAGGATAGACTCTTAAGAGAAGAGGAAAAAATCAGAACCAGGAAGGAGAGAGAATTGTGAAGAGTTCACTTTGAGAGAGGCACTGACCTAAGGTCGAGGTATACATCCAGTTCCAGGTAGCCTCTACTGGAGGGAGCCAAAGGGAATAAATATGCTTACCTCATTCTTTACCACTATGCAATCTCCTCCCATCAGCTACAAATCATGGGGTGGTGTCATTCAGTCCTGAAACCATAAACATCAGCCACCCCAGAAGTCTTCATATATGGTATGGGAGAAAAGAAACAAGTTCCAAAACAGTCTCATAAAACTGCTTTTTAAGCTGGTCATGAGGCCTGGATTCATAAACATAGTTCTCTTTCACTATCCATTCTTAGTTTCTCTCACTTTTTGCTTGTACCTCACCTGAATGGGATTTTTTTTCTTTTTTAAGATTTTATTTATTTGAGAGAGAAGGAGGAGGAGCAAAGGGAGAGAGAGTGGAGAGAAGAGCAGAGGGAGAGGGGGAGAGAGTATCCTAAGCTGACTTCATGCTGAGCGTGGAGCCTGAGGCAGGACTCGATCTCACGACCCTGAGATCATGACCTGAGCTGAAATCAAGAGTCAGATGCTTAACAGACTGAGCCACCCAGGTACACCCTGATAGGATTTTTTACCAGGTGGGGTGCTCCAACGTTCATTCTTTTTTTTTTTTTAAAGATTTTTTTTTTTTTTTGACAGAGACAGCGAGAGAGGGAACACAAGCAGGGGAAGTGGGAGAGGAGAAGTAGGCTTCCCGCCGAGCAGGGAGCCCGATGCGGGGCTTGATCCCAGGACCCTGAGATCATGACCTGAGCTGAAGGCAGTCGCTTAACCAACTGAGCCACCCAGGCACCCTCCAACATTCATTCTTACTAGTCCCAGTGGAAGTCCTTTTTGGGTTACCCTAGTTTTTTATTGGACTACTGGCTGAGAATACAAACAATTTCAGAGAATACTCTTACATTCCATATATAGTCCTATTTATTCCACTGTATAGCAGTGATGCAATTTCCCCGTTAAAAGGGATCCCAGGGCACCTAGGTGTTGCAGTCAGTTAAGCATCCGACTCTTGGTTTTGGCTCAGGTTGTGATCTCAGGATTGTGGGATCTAGCCCCAATTTGGGCTCCATGCTCAGCGTGGAGTCTGCTTAGGTTTCTCTCTCCCCCCCCCCCCCCGCCCTCCGCTCTAATAAATAAATCTTAAAAAAAAAAAAAAAAAAAAAGATAAAAGGGATTCCTCACCCTGCCAGTAGAGTGATCCCCTTCTTTGTTGGTTAGTGACAGAAAAAGCCCAAACCTGCCGGTAAGCAGTGTCCATTTCCAATTCACTGAAACCATTTTCCTAGGAAGATTTCCTAGGAAACATTCCTCTCTTCAATACTAAGACCTCCAAAACCACTAAGTCCAAAGTTTCAGGGACCAAAAATTCTTCAAATGGGTTATTAGGTATAATAGAGAACCCAACAAAAATGCATACATGTGTACACCAAAAGATGTACACAAGAATGTTCATAGTAGCAGTCCTTATAATAGCCCCGAATGGAAATATCTCCAGCGGCTATCAACAGAATGGGTAAATGTGGTATATTCATTAAATGTGGGACATATTAGTGTGGAAGCTAATGAAGTGGGTGCTGATCACATAGTTATCTTCACTTTGTGGTAAGTCATGCTAAATAATTATATTTGTGTACTTTTCTATACTTGTGTTATGCTTCAATTAAAAAACTTTATAATAAATGCATATAATAGCCTTCTTGTGTGTAATGTGTACTTTCTCTGAATGCTTTTAAGATGTTTGTCTTTTATTAGTTTGACTATAACATGCATTGGTGTGATTTTCACTGTAATTTTCCTACTTGTGCTTCACTAAGCTGTGTGGATCTGTAATGTCATGCTTTTCACCAAATTCAGAAAACATGCGGCCAGTATTTTTTAAAAAATTAGACATGTATAAAATAGAGGGGCCAGGCTCATCTCCACTATGTGTACTTTCTGGGAAAGATGGCACTATATACTGATTACTGGGGTTAAGCATATACTTTATTCTGTAGGTCAGCATCCTAAATTTGCAGGTTATTGTCTCCTGGTCGGCCCCGTAAACTGAATCAGTTTTCCAGTTTGTTCTAAGTTCTTGTCCAGCCCGTCAACTCATAAGCCACTAACAATGAACCAGTGTTTACCCTTACCTCAGGCCATTGTCTTATAAAGTTCTTCTCAATGAAAGGATTTCCCTTTACTGTTGTGTTTCAGGGCCACTAATGAGTGATGGTGTTGTATAGTGAGCACTCACACCCCAGTATTGCCAACTCACTGCAGATCCTTTTGTGAATTAACAAGACCAAGGGGTGCCTGGGGGGCTCAGTCGGTTAAGTGGCTGCCTCCGGCTCACGTCAATCCCAGGGTCCTGAGATCGAGTCCCACATCTGACTCCCTGCTCCACAGGGAGCCTGCTTCTCCCTCTGCCTCTCTCTGTCTCTCATGAGTAAATAAATATCTTTAAAAAAAGATTCTTATTTTTCTCTTCATTAATTGGTCAGAGGAACTCTTTTGAAGCCAGTTTGTATGGACTGGGGGAGAGGTGCTGAAGGAATATGGGCAGGTGTTACTCGAATGAGTCACCTGCTCATTCAGTTTAGTTGTGATGGTGTTGCCAGTGTTGTAGGGAGTGGACTGCTGTTGCGCCCATCCAGTTGTATGGTTTGGTGAATCAGGTAACAGCAGTTCATGATGGGTAGTTGATTATTCACGCAGTCACTTGATGTCCCATGGTCAGGTGTTCCATCTCTACCAGGTACCAGGAGCAAGTCAGGAGCTACTTTTCAACAAAACAAAACAAAACATTGGTTGAGGAAAATAGATCTTTACTCAAAAACCAAGGAATCGGTGTTGTAATTCTCCTGTTGGCACTCATTAGAAGCTTCATATAACACCTCTACCACATGAAGTTCCAATACCATTGGATCTGCCCACTCATAAGGCCCAACTAGCAAGACAGTTTGCTCTGGGTTCCACTGAAAACTAGTTACCCAGAAAATAGGTTAGAGGAGGCCACCCAAATGTTCTATTTTGTTGTCTCCAGAACTCAAAAAGACCTGCCACAAATTTTGCCTTTTTCTTTATTGTGGTGGTGAAAAACACAACAAACTGTCACTCACTTGACTGGATAACCTAACATGTCTCAGGCCATCGGACCCCTAAAAACTTGTGGCAGGTCCTGGAAGTTTTACAGGGTTTTTCTTGCACCTTCTGGCATGCATATGTCTTACCAAAACATGTAGAGTGCTTACCACTTCCTGCTCATTGGGTTCATTTAACATTCATTTCTGTAAGACCAGCGTGATATTTTGTGACATAGCAAGATGATCAAGGTCCCTTCACACCACAGAACAGAAAGTTGACACAGCCCTGTGACGAGACAGGGCTCACTGTTGTCCTTGCCAGTTAAATGCGGTCTATTTCTGACTTCCCTTACTAACTGGAATGGGGTGTACAGGGCACTTCCAGACCAAAACCTATATATCTTGTCAAAGTGTATTAATAATTAATTTCCTCCAATGAAGATCCCACACCTAGAACAGCAACTACAATTGGCATTTCCGCCTGATCAAACTCTTGCAGTAATCCAGTCATTCTTTACTACCCATCTGGTTTTTACACTGTCATTCTCTATGACCCATCCGGTGACCACAAAGGGAATTTAAGTGGGAATGTGGTATGAATCACTACTCCAGCATGGTGGCACTAATTTCTATGAGTTCCCCAGGATGTGGTACTTTTTGTATATGGTCATAGTGTAAGAGTGGTAGCAAGCAGTTATGAACTTCTACATGGCCCTTCCTACCATTATAGCACTCACTCCATTGGTCAGGAAACCAAAATGAAGATTGCTTCAGTTATTAAAATGTATCTATTCTTACTACACATCTAGGACTGGAGAAATAACCACAATATGGGTCTCTCTGGACTCACTGTTACCCAGACTCAGGCCAAGACTACATCCATCACTTGACTTTCACAGACCTCCTATTTTAACCAGTTGTCCAGGATGGGGTTTTGGGTCTCTAGGTATCAGTAGATATTAAGAGGCAGTATCTAAAAAGCCTCAGGAGGTCTGATATTTTCCTTTCTTCAGTAAATGGCCACTAGAGAAGGATTAGGGCAGTGATCCCCTAACTTCTCACAGGATTTACCAGGGGAGCTTTAAAAAATATCAATGCCTTGATCTCACTCCCTGAAATTATGATTTAATCGGTCTGAAGTGTGTTCTTTAGAATTCTCAGGTGTTCTAAAGTACAGACAGGTTTGGGAACCACTGGATAGGGGAAGGTTCATGGTTATACAACCATGGCTGCATTGCTGGGTTCTTCTTCAAAGGGACCCAGTCTCTCCATCATCAAGGAGTTCAAAGGCTTCAAATTTCACTATGACAACACAAGTTAGTTTAGAATTTTCCCACCTATATATGTCAAGCAGCACCTTACTGGGCTACTTAAGCCATTTCATTTCTAGGGACTTTGTTATCATTTGGTCATTATCCCCCTTTCCCCGTAGGTCAAAACAATCTGATTAACTTCTCTTCTTTGACTTATTATGGTAATTGTGCGCACCATGTCTCTGGTGGCTATATGCCCATCATGTAACCTTTGCCACTTTGGGACTGTATTATTCTCTTTGAGATCAGGAAACAATTCTACCACAGCATTCATCACCATCATTCTGACAGAGGACAGACACTTCAGAGCTCTTTGGGAATGCTGATGCTCCTATCACCAAAGTGTTTCTTAATGACTTGGTGAAAAGTGAGAATATCTACGGAGTCTTTGTATTCCCTCCTCTACAGTATGCCAGGGTATTTCTGGCATTTTGAAATTATTATTTCAAATTTCATTTGTAGGCCATTTATTACTTGTAACCTGTTACTGAGCCCATGCCTCATCCTAGCAAACTATTAATGCCAGTATATTAGATGTTGACTCTCAGGTGAGTACACCCGTGCCAATAAATTTGCCATAAGTAAAGCCTTATATTTATTCCCCCTTGGTGTAATATCCTTAGAACCCACTTCTATAGATACTTCTCGGGCTCCTGCTCATCAAAACGGCAAGGTCTTTAACTTCTGTGTAGCTTATCTCTTGCCAGAGCAGGCCACATACTTCTCTGACTAGTATGTCTTGAGATTTAACTGGGGATACTGTGAGGTGGTGAAGGTAAGTTCTGAGAACAGGTATCAGCTTAGGAGAGAGCTGTCCCAAGTGCAATCACTGAAAGCCTCTACGTAGGGGAGGCTAGTTTCCTCAGAGAGCAAAGGAAGTTCAGAGGATATGCAGGGTCAGAGTTCTCAGCTTCATTCTTGTCTGCCCAAAAGTCCACATTCTATGTCTGGGCTCCACATCTTCCTCACCAGTGCTCCACCCTTAGAGTAAGAAAACCAGAAGAACTGAGCATATAATTGGTACTACAAATCTACCTTATCTGCCCACTGATTATAGGAGATAAAGGACTCCTTCAAAGCTGCAGTGGAGGGGTTTTGACTCTCCATACATTCTTAATTGTATTTTCATAGTTTTTACCTTCTTCTGTGTACATCCTGTTTAGGATCATAAGAGAAGCCTGGTGGATCCACAATTTTAAATTACTATGGTTATCACAGCGATACTTTCTCCTTACCTTCATTCTATCCCATGCTATTATAATGGTAATCAAAATAGTACTGTAAGGCATGGGTCTCCTGTGGTCCCTTTGTCTATAGCAATGAGGTTATCCCTGTGATTGATTTTATTGTGTGTGTGTGTGTGTGTGTATTTAATTCAATCTCAGTGGGTCCATCTCCTGTAATAACTCTGGTACCAATTACTCTACCAGGGTTACAAAAAGAAATAGAAGGCACACTCAAAATAATTTAAGAATGAAGAAGATTGGTGAAACATGTTACATTAAAATCAAGAACTTTGTTTTTTCAAAAGATGCCATGGAGAAAATGAAATGACAAGCCATGCTATAGGAAAGGATATTTGGTCAAGAACTCACATCCAGAATATATAAAGAAGTCCTAAAAATCAGTAAGAAAATGACCGACAACCCAACAGACATATGGGCAAGTGACTTGAACAAGCACTTCAAAAAAGAACTCTCCAAAGGGCAAATAACATAAAATGGTGCTCAACCTCAGTATTCATCAGGAACATGCAAATTATGCCCAAATGAAATGCCACTACACACTCATCAGAATGGCTAACGTTAAAAAGTGACGATACCAAGTGTTGCCCAGGGTGTGGAGAACATGAAACTTTCATATACTGTTGGTGGGGATATAAATAACAAACTTTGGAAAACTGTCATTCTTTATAAAATGTGCACACACCTTATGACCAAGGAATTTTAATTATAAGTATTCTCTCAAAAGAAATGTCTTCCCATGCATACCAAGAGACACAGAATGTTCATGGCATCATTACTGGTTAATAGCCCCAATGCAGAAACAACCCAAACATCAACAATAGAATGGATATATTTGGTTCCTTCATATAATGGAATATAGCAATGAATATGAACTACTTCTACAAACAATATAGATGAATCTCACATATATATAAAATACACACTTAATCTCATTTATGTAAGATTGAAAACCAGGCAAAACTGGTCTATGGTTAGAAGCTGGGAGAGTGATTATATTGGGGAGGAGGGGCTGGACAGTTATTGAGAGGTTGCCTAAGAGGGTTTCTATGTAACCAGTAATACTCTATTTTCTGGGTGGTAGAACAGTGGTATGTTTACTTTATGATAGGTAGTTCATTTATTTCTGTGGTATGCTATATTTCAATTTTTTAAAAGGGTGGGCCTAAAAAGATTGGAACTATTTGTTTATGCCCCCCTTGCCCCTCTCCATTAATTCAAATACTTCTTCCTTCAAGGTCCAGTTCCAATTCCATATTTTACATGAAGCCCAACCACTCCAGGTAGAAGCAATTTATCTTTCTACATGGTTTTTACATCTTCTGGGAAGTAGTATAACACAGTAGAAATAGTATGGGCTAAAGGGTTTGGGCTTTAATCTGTGAGGCAATTAAAAGTAGGAGAGTGAGAGTGACATGGTCATTTTTGGATCTGCCCATCATGAACTTGTTTAACCAATTTTACTTATTTTTAAAAATATTTATTTATTGAGGGGAGAGGGGCAGAGGGAAAGGGGGAGAAAATCTCAAGCAGACTCCCCCCTGAATGCAGAGACCAACATAGGGCTCAATCCCATGACCCATGAGATCATGACCTGAGCTCAGACCAAGAGTCAGACACTCAACCAACTGAGCCACCCAGGCACCCCACCAATTTTACTTATATTTCTTCGAATACGTGGACAAATATAAAACTTTACATATACATATATCATATGATAGACTGTTATAATATTTGCTCCCAACGAATCATGCCACCTTTGTTCATGCTTTTTTGCAGTGTGCCTTTGCAGGAATAGATAACTTTTAGGGAAAAAGAAGTCCCCTTTCCTTTTTTACCTAGCTCACCAAAGTCTGTTGTAGCAAAAACTACTATTGTCTCTCAATATCCTTTCTTCTCTTCTTACCCCCAATTTTAGCTTTGGAAACTGCCACATAACTAAGGACTATATCTCCTAGTCTCCCTTGAAAGTGTGGCCATATGACTACATTCTGACTGATGGGCTATAAGTGGAAATGATGGCTGCAACTTTTTTTTTTTTTTAATTTTATTATGTTATGTTAGTCACCATACAATACATCATTAGTTTTTGATGTAATGTTCCATGATTCATTGTTTGCGTATAACACCCAGTGCTCCATTCAATACATGCCCTCTTTAATACCCATCACCAGGCTAACCCATCCCCAACCCCTCCCCTCTAGAACCCTCAGTTTGTTTCTCAGAGTCCATAGTCTCTCATGGTTCATCTCTCCCTCCGATTTCCCTCCCTTCGTTTTTCCCTTCCTTCTCCTATGTCCTCCATGCTATTCCTTATGTTCCACAAATAAGTGAAACCATATGATAATTGACTTTCTCTGCTTGACTTCTTTCACTTAGCATAATCTCCTCCAGTCCCATCCATGTTGATGTAAAAGTTGGGTATTCATCCTTTCTGATGGCTGAGTAATATTCCATTGTATATATGGACCACATCTTCTTTATCCATTCATCTGTTGAAGGGCATCTCGGCTCTTTCCACAGTTTGGCTATTGTGGACATTGCTGCTATGAACATTGGGGTGCATATGGCCCTTCTTTTCACTACATCTGTTTGGGCTGCAACTTCTATGGCATGTCCTTAAGAGGAAAAGGTAGACAGAACAAAAGGTATTTGTAGTTTAAAAAAATTTAACACAGGTTGCCAGGCTGCTTTGCAAATAGGTTGAAAAAGTTCACCTTTCTACCAGCAATGTAAAACAATACCTTTCACCTGGATCCTCACTAGCAAGAGGTCATTTAAAATTTTGCCCAGTGTGAGAAGATGTTTCACCTCACTCATAACAGGAGAAATGCATAATAAGACTATACTAAGATTAAACATTTTCACTTTTCAGTCTCAAATCCAAAAGTTTGGTCACATACTCTAATGACAATGCTATACATTCTCAATTGTTCTTTATACAACATCTATGGAGGGAAATTTGGCAGTATCATCCAAATTCACAAGAAATAAATGCTGGTGTGAATGCAGAGAAAAGGTAACCTTCATGCACTGTTGGTGGGAATATAAATAGGTACAGCCACTATGGCAAACAGTATGGAAGTTCCTCAAAAACTTAAAAATAGAACTACCATATGACCTAGCAATTACACTTCTGGGTATTTATTCAAAGAAAATGAAAATGCTCCAAAAAATATATGCACCCCCATGTTCACTGCAGCATTATTTACAATAGCCAAGATATGGAAACAACCTAAGTGCACATTGAAAAGTGAATGGATAAGGGAAATTAGTATATATGGAATGAATACGTCATGGAAATAAAAGCCAAAGCATAAGGAATATCGTCAATGATATTGTAAAAGCATTGTATGCTGACAGATGGTAGCTACACTTGTAGTGAGCATAGCATAATGTACAAACTTGTCGAATAATTATGTTGTACACCTGAAACTCATGTAACATTGTGTCAACTATACCCAAAAATAGTAAAAAAAAAAAAAAAAAGAAAAGAAAAAAAAAGAAAAATACATGATTGAATTTTAGAGGGGAAAAAAAGAAAGGAGATGTAGTATATATGTACAATGAAGTATCATTCAGCCATGAAAAAGAATGAAATCCCACTATATCCAACATAGATGGACCTCAAGGGCAGTATGTTACATGAACTAAGTAAGATTGATTAAAGACAAATACCACATGATCTCATTTATATGTGGAATGTAAAAACAACCAACCAACCCGCCAAGCTCAGAGATAAGAGAACAGACTGGTGATTGCCAGAGGTAGGGTGGGCAAAATGAGTGAAGGGGGTCAAAAGGTACAAACTTTCAGTTACAAAATAAACAAGTCATGGGGATGGACTGTACAGCACAGTCACTATAATTAATAATAGAGTTGCTAAAGGGAGTAAATCTTAGAAAACTTAAACATTCTCATCACAAGAAAAAATATTCTGTAACTATGTATGATAATTAGACTTGTGGTGGTGACCATTTTGCTATATATACAAATATCAAATCATCATGCTTTACACATGAAACTAATATAAGATTTTATCAATTATAACTCAATTAAAAAAAAAGAACACCATGACAAGAACAGAGAGACTGCAGAAGGGGAAAAGAGAAAAAAAAAAAGAAGAAAAAAAAGAAGCTCTAGGGAGATACATGAGAAAATTGTAAAAATAGTTGTGGGATCAATGGCATTTGCATGGGAAATGGTGGATGGAATATACATGTGGGAAACTTCAACTCAAAACATAAATCTAGATCTATCTAGATACACACTCCGCCCCCCCCCACACCATTTGAATGAATTACCTACTCAAAAAGAAAAGTATTTCCCATAGAGTGAATTCCCTAGTTTCCTTTATGTGATTTTTGCCAAGTCAATTTACCTGCCTGATTCTTTCTTCAACTGTAAAACAGGGCTATGATACACTTCAGAGTACTCTGTGAGCACTTGTATTAGATGTATGTGTAGCTCAGTGCCGGTCACATAATAAGCATTTAATAAATGTTAAATTAAGAAATGGTTTTAAGTCTGTTAGGCCTAATTGGCATCTAATTATTATTTTAATTTGCATGTCCCTGATTTCTCCTGATTCTGAGCATCTTTTCACATTTGGATTTATTCTTTGCTGAGTTCATATTCTTTGCCCATCCATTTTTCTGTTGAATTGCATGTTCCCTTAATGTGAATTTCTAAGAGCACTTTGTATATTATAGATGTTAAACCTCCTTATGAGTATTTTTCTAAATTTACTGCATATCTATTAACCTTAATTATAACTTCTTTATGCAGGCTTTTTTTTATATATTGACAAATGTCTATCTTCTTTGAGAAGAATGTGTATTCTGTTTTGGGGTGAAGTATTCTATAAATGTCAATTAGATCCAGTTGACTGATGGTAATACAAAGTTCAACTCTATCCTCACTGATTTTCTGCCTGCTAGATCAATTACTGAAAGAAGGTTGTTGAAATCTCCAACCATAAGAGTGGATTTGTCTATTTCTCTTTGTAGTTCTATCCATTTTTACCTTAGCTTTTTTTAATGTTGTTAGATGTACCGTTAAAGGTTATATCTTTTTAGAGAATTGACACCTTTATCATTATGTAATGCTCCTCTCTATCCCTGATAATTTACCTTGTTCTGAAGTCTGTTTTGCCTGAAGATAGCAACTATATAGCTTTCTTTTGATTAGTATTAGCTAGGCGGGTATTTCTCCATTCTTTTACTGTTAACCTGTGTCTTTATATTTAAAGTTGGTTTCTTATGTATGATTCCTGAGAAAATGGAGCATTAGTAAGGACTGTGGGCTTTCTCCCTCCAAATCAACCCTGGGTAACTACAGAAATAAGGAAGCAAGGGCTTGAAGAACAAGATAAAAAACTGAGAAAACCCTAATAAGGGTTAGGAGTAAGTTTTTACATTTTGTTCCTGGCACTTGCCTCCACTGCTTTGAGACAGTCAGTGCCAGACAACTGATCATTCCAGATACCATTAGCAACAGCTTCCCAGTATAGAATAATACAAAGGGTCTGTTGAAGGGAGTTGCTGATGAAAAAGAGTGTGGGGCTGGCCAGATACTCTAGAGAACTGAGACATTCACTCCCCTACTCCTTCCCCAAACCTTTAGGGTTTTGGTTGATTATAAGGGCCTTCTCCTACACTGTGAGTTTTAAGGTAAATCCTCACCAGAGAAGTTGTCAACAGTAGCAACAGAGATAGAGCACTATAGCTCCTCTGTGGTACCTGGAGCTCTTTGCTCTCTAATCCTTAAACTTGTGGGAAGGGATAAAAACTAGGGTCTGCCCTTTTCCTCTTCCTCCATATCTGTGATCAGTAAGGGTAGTAGAGGGGTACCTGGGTGGCTCAGTCAGTTAAGCGTCTGCCTTCAGCTCAGGTCATGATCTCAGAGTCCTGAGATGAAGCCCCACATCAGGATCCCTGCTTCTCCCTCCCACCCCCCACCTTGCTCGTGCTCTCTCTAGGGTGTTCTCTTTAAATAAATGAAATCTTTAAAAAAAAAGTGTAGTAGAGAACATAAGCTTGTGAACCAAATATCTAGACACCTGAGGAGTATGATCACTATGTAACACAACAAATTACATAACATATACCAACTGAAGCAGAATTATAGGCATATATTTAATTTAAAAAATGTTTTAAGAATTTAAATAAACAATTCAATCATCCAACAATATTTTACTTAGCACCTGCTAGTGTCAGGCACTGAGGATTCATCAGTGAGCAACACAGACAAAAATCTTTATTCTTGTGTATTTTATTTTCTAGTGGTAGGAAATGGCACATCAAACAACTTATCTAAGGAATAAGCCATTTTAGAAAGTAATATTTGCTATAAAAATAAAGTAGGATAAAGCTGATTGGGATTGCAGAAAAGGGTCACAATTTTAAAATGAAACTAAGCCTAAAATAGGAATCAAGAGGATGCTGAGCAGGAGGTTAGTAATATATAAAGAAGGAACAAGAAATCATTAAACAGCCATGGGAGACTATTAGGTATGGAAATAGGGGCTTACAGAACATCATAGATAAATTAAAATAAAATTTAAAAAAAGATCATCATAGATGGATAAATAGCAGGGTTGATGAGATCTTATGCTTTTGAGGTACAGAATATTTTTATGTAGCTAAAATCTCTAGATTTTTCCCCTTGTGGTTCCTAGTGCTTTCACGTTTGAAAAACATGACATTTAAAATATTTTAAATTACAAAATAATATTTGTACATGGTAAGACATTCAAACAAAATAGAAGTAGAAAGTAAAAGACATCAACACCCCTCCCATTATCCTTTACATAGAGGCAGTCATTTTTCTATGTATCCTTCCAGAAATTTTCTATGTATAATCAAATATGTATATATACATGGTTTAAAAAATTTATAAATAGAATACATATTTTCTGCAGCCTGCTTTTTCTTTTCCCACATTTAGATCTACTCCAGAGACTGAGGTTTTAAATGACAGTAAGAATTTCTTTTAGGAGGTAGAATTATAAAGATAATAAAAAGATCAGTAGGTAAAAAAAAAAAAAAGATCGGTAGTTGGCAGGGATTGGGGGAGAGTAGGGATGAACAATGGAGAACACAGGGCATTTATAGGGCAGTGAAACTATTCTGTATGATCCTATAATGCTGGATACATGACATTATGCATTTGTCAAAACCTACAGAACTATACATAACAGAGTGAACCTTAATGTAAACTATGGACTTTAGTTAATACTAATGTATCAATATTAGTTTATCAATGGTAACAAATATACCACAAGATATTAATAATAGAGAAAATGTGTGTGTGATGTGGGAACTCTGTATTTTCTGCCCAATTTTTCTGTAAACATAGAACTGCTCAAAAAAAAAAAAAGCCTATTAAAAAAATTTCATTTAGAAAAACTATTTTGTAAACTATTTTTGTAAAGCCTTGTATAGGTTTTTTTAGAGTTGGAGGCTAGAGGTCAAATATTAGGCAGAATGTTGCTATGGTCCAAGCATAAACTGATTAGTTCTAAGGTAGCAAATTAAATTAGTTTGAAAAGATTTGCTAATACTCCACCTTAGGAGTCTTGAGTGGAATTTACTGTGTTCTTTTGTTTTAGTAGGCTCCACGCCCAGCATAGAGCCCAACATGGGGCTTGAACTCACTACCCTCAGATCAAAACTTGAGCTGAGATCAAGAGTCAGATGCTTAACTGAGTGAGCCACCCAGGAGCCCCAGAAGTCTTAAGTGGAATTTAAAGTTTGTGATTTAAAGAAATAATCTGTCAAAAATATTATGTTAATCAGGAGTAGCAAAAAAACCCCTATATGCTTTTTTTTCTTTTTAAAGATTTTATTTATTTGAGAGAGAGAGCACACAGCGCACATGAGCGGGAGGGGCAGAGAGAGCGGGAGAAGCAGGGTCCCCGCTGAGCAGGGAGCTCTATATGGGGATGGATCCCAGGACCCTGGGATCATGACCTGAGCCGAAGGCAGATGCTTAACCGACTGAGCCACCCAGGCGTTCCCTCCACCCCCACAAAAAAACCCCAATATGCTTAAGAATTATGAGAAAAGGAAATATGGCTGAAAAGATGTGAATAGCCATAACTGACATGCTGAATATTTTTTAAGTTAACAGGACTGGAGGAGTCAGGAAATTATTCATCTACTACACTTGGTATTGCTTATATTCTTAAACCATTTATTTCCAGGTTTTTATAACCTAGATATGTCCTTATCAAATCAGTCATTAACAAGATATTACACTGGGTGCTTTTCATCTAAATAGCATGATTCCATACAAAATTCAGCCATCTCAAATTTATTCTGTGCACAACAGTATTATCACAAAGCATTAGTTTCCTGTTTTCTTTACTGCCTCATTCATCACACTTGGGAGTAGGCTAGTTCTATAACTTCTGACGTAAATAAGAATCTGTTCTATTATTTTAATGATTACATATGAAGATTACAGTAAATATGGAATTTCTACAGCAAAAGAAGTGGCTTCCAAAAGAGAAAAAGAAACGTCAAAGGTCTACAGAATTAAGCTTTTAATTATGTATGTATGCATATACCTATGTTTGTATTTACTTAACTGTAATCTTTTTCTAGTCAATGACTGCAAAGTGGTATCTCAATACAGTCCCTTACCATGCATGGTCTGATTCACAAATTTTCAACTTTATAATGATGCAAAAGCAA